TGTGTGGGGACGAGGAAGATACAAGGCTAAGCAAAACAAATTCCCACTTGCTTACAAGCAGAGCTCAGCCCAACAACGTTCCAGACAATATTATCAACGAATTTAGGAACATGGATTACTGAGTGCAACGCAAAATTATAATGCTTAGAGTGGAATGAAATTAATTCAGCTCAGGAACTTCTAAAGTAATTGCAGCCTTATAGAAATCCAGGTAGCAGCCTTAAATTGAGCTTTCCATCTCATGTTCCTTGTCAAATCGCAGGCTTTCGGATTTTTTTTCAGTCAACAAAGTAAGACCTCCAAAATATACACGTGAATTACGCACCCAGAAAGCTTGTTAACTGACCCATATTTTATGTAGGAAAATAACTGACACCTTAAGCCGAAATTGCAGCGCTGCGTCCCGTTGAAAAATCGAACGCAAATGTAGACATCTATTTGGAAGCTGTTGTCTGTTATCAGCAGGTATTTTTACTTAGTTTTGTTACTCCATTAATATATAAAACTACACACATATTAGGGAAGGTTTATATAATCCTCTATTTCCAATACAACTAATATAATCTTTCAGTTGAATCTAGATAGAATTTCTTGTTTACTAAGACGACTGTGTACTGTTCAGCAGTACTAATACGATGGTTATCTACAGCACATAATCAACAACTGTGAGTCTCGATGCAGTGTGTAACAATATGCTAATAGTGGTATCATTATGTGGGAGTACAAGCGGGATATAAACTCGTCTTGACGGAACAGACGTATTAAAAAGTATATCTACTTGTTGTGTTTAAACAGTTTGCTATACGTGCCACCTTTATGTTCGTAAATAAATTTGCATGCATCATGGTGCCAAAATCTACTGCAGCCGATAGCATGTCATCACCTCGAGAACACCTGCCTTCTGGAGAAAACGTTCATTGAGTTTATATTTGCCTTAACGAACTCGTTGCTTCGTTTCCTACCGCGGTAGCGACAACGTTTCTAGCATAAAAATCTATGTTCTATTTTTTTTAGGAGAAGATAAAGAAAACCAAAAATTGTTGCATACAACAAGTGACATTATTATGTCACTGAGTCCTCACAGCGTTAAAAATAATTCCCTTCACTTTTTCGTCAATCGCGTAGAGGTTTATACTTAATACCTGAGTCCCTGAGAGTATAGCAAATTCTGTAGAGAAATAGGATTGACGCTTTATTCAGCTAAATATCAGCAGAACTGCTAGAAAGGCAACGAATATTAATCATTGCTGGAAATAAAAGTATATACACTGAGCCACGAACATTAAAAATATCATAATTTCTAACCCCTGTGGTCGAAATCTTTATCTAAGGGGCTGCTTAAGGTCGATTAAGGACATTTCACCTGTAGCAGTTTCGCAATTCGAAGCATTTTGTTGGCAGTGACAGCGGATCAAATCTCGGATGAAAAAAATAACTGATCCAGATAAATGATAATCTTCGGCGACAAGCTGGATCGTCTCGTAAGAGACGTCTGGATGCAGACGATGAAGACGCATTGTAAGCACACTCTACGCTTGAGGCAGTCCTATAAACCTACTGTCCCAGCGCCAGTCCTCCACTCGACCTGCCACAACTGAACCACATGGCGCTTGACAAATACATTCTATATGCTTTAATTTCCAAGAGCAGAGCAGCGGGACCTGCTGATTATTGTCGCGACGACGGGCCGAAGAGCTGTTTCCAGTCGTCGACAACCTCCACGAATAATCTGATCTTAGACAAACCGTGTTTAACGAGGAAGTTTTAGCTTGTATGAAAAGGCAGTTGCCCGCTCATACGTTATACCGCCAGGAGCAGCACTGTACAAGCTACGAAAGAATGATTTTAGCATTATACTGCAGCTTACGGGATTCTAGTCTTTGCCTATGGGGCTCCCGTAATTAGAAGATTGCGTCATCAAGAATTGGATTGCTCCGAATGAATATAGCGAATGAAGAGATCGATGGGCCAATAAAACAATGAACTTCTCATGAGTTAGTACGGCCATACCTATCTTGTGCAGCACACGATCGGCGATTCACCTACCAATTCATTCCTAGCTGCAATAAATTGCAAAAGGCAGAGGATGACGTGTGAACTATGCTATGCAACTCTCCAGATGCTGATAAACAGAAGTGCCTAATGGATCTTGTCTACCTCGATTAGGACACAGTCTAATCACTTAACCTCGACACACAGATGATTCACTTGCAAACAAACTAGCGACTATCGAATCCGCGGACCCGCAGCCGAAAGCAAAGAAACGCATTCCGCAACTCAGGAGGTGATGATCAGGGTCCCGGGAAGAACTGGATGATGGCAGCTCTGCCTGCCCGTCGGCTAGGAAGTTGAAGAGCTTCCTGGGCTTGACCTCGCATTATCGCTAATTTACGCGTTTTGTACTGATCGCAAACTCGCTCTATGCTGTAGTCAACGCGAAGGATTTCGTTGTAATGCCGACCACAGAAAGTCCAACCATAAACTTATGGGGCACACTTTAAGGTCGTTACCGTCAGCATTCCACTAATGTATGTAAGCAGCAGCAAGATTGAGACCAAAAGAGGCGCGATGCGAAACCCTGCCTTGAGAAAGTTAGAAAAGACTTAATAAGCTTCTTAAAATTTCCTGGCGGTATGGTCTTCCAAGTTCTTGGTCTTGGTCTTAGTCGACTATTACAGCCGTTTTACCCAGCTTGTACCGGTGCGGAAGGTGTCGTATGGTGTCGTGATCCGGGCGGCAGAAGCCGTGCAGCACTCTTTCGAGGACTTCGGCACTTTCGTGACGGACAATGCGATCTTCTTTACATCGCGGCGGGTCGCAGACTACCTCCGGTGGAGCCGCATCGGTGACATTAAAAGGGTTTCGGACACCCACGATGCATCGGCTTAGTCGAGCGTGTGACTCGAACGGTCACGGAAAAGTTGAAGCCCTAGCAACGGAAAACAGGTTGCTCTAGGAGCTTCTTCCTCGCCTAGTGTTTTTGCTCAACGCAGCTGCAGCTAACAGCCAGAAAATACGGTGCTCGAATTGTGATTCGACTGCTGGGTTTGACTGTCCGGAGAGCCGCACGCTTAATGTTACTGGTGAAGGTTGGACAAGCAACGCCGGGATTTCTGAGAAGGTGCAACCGCGTAACCAGGGGGCCATTGACCACCATAAGTCAGGTGACCCTACACAGCTATTTGTTTGCCATGGCGGACAACTCTCAATGAATGGAAAAAATATGTAGCGTGTGTTGGAAAACATACCCCGGTAGCGCGGAAAAATGTAAAAATGCGCACTGCGAACGTTGGTAATATACTAATTCCTAAGCAAGTGCGGCCCAAATTTGTACAAGCTGCTTGAGGCCAAACAAATCGCAGTTTATCGACAACTGTTTTATTATTCACAGCAATATTCCTATATGTGCATATATACATACTTCACGTAAAACTTCGCTCATAGATGGCACTATTAATGACCTTTCTACCCTACATATTTAGCTAACAAGATATCTAAGCAGGGTCGAGGCGTAACTTAAGGATATAACTTGATAATATTTGGCAACCTGAAATGCATCTAGTACCGAAATCGACAGTCTAGGTTATATCAGGTAAATATTAAGAATATTAATTAAAGCCGGTAATTCCTAAAAACGGTAGGTGTTGAAGGACTCCAAAAATATTGCCTTTAAAATATGTTTATCTAGTAGTTGATAAAAAATTAAGAAAAAAATGAACGTAATTTGTGATGGACATATTTATTAAAACTATTGAACTACATTAACAGATGACGCGTCTATGGTCGAATGAACATCCCACGACATCATATTTTGATCCGTATTCATTTTTTTAATTCATTGAAAACCTGATTCGTAATGGGCGTGTTTTGTTATTGACAGGTGAAATCATTGGTGCTACCGCGGTATTGCACTTAGTAGGCAAACGGCTAATTTCTGAGAGATTAAGTCTATTGAAATACTAACAAAATGCAGGTTTTTCACAATACGGCACTTTATATGTAAGTAGAAGAGATTAGCGGTACAGTGAACTAGAAAGAACAATGATGCACATCTTGCAGCTCAAGGAAAATTATTCAGCCGCTACCGTATCCGGAACTCAATGCCTATGGCTAAGTTAGGTATAGCAGAAAAGCGGGAAAAACATTTTTTCAGATGGCGAACAGTCGCGCTTAAATTTATGTTATCAGCTCTTTCTCGTCCGGAGACAAACATTCCTACCAAGCAAAAATCGTTTTCCTTTTTTTTTTTCGTCAGAAAGAAGTTTTTCGTAAAGGTATTTGCACTCGTATCTTTTTACTTTTTTAATAAAAGATCACTTCATGCATGAATGAAATCTAAATAGAAATCGAAGATACGTATTTCCAATGTAATATTAAGAGAAGATATCTCTCCAGTATAAACTACATGCATATACATTCTGGGAAGAATTTCGCTCTACACGTTCCAAATTAAATTACTAAAAGCGGTTAAATACGCAAGATCGAGAAAACGTAAAGCAGCAGAAATGGCTAAATCGTAGGTACGATCTCTGCAATGTGCGAAGTAAAAAAATTTATCTCAAAATGAGTTTGGTTGGCTCATTATAATCTTAATAAAATTATTGGTTGGAATAAGAAAGAACAATTGAACAACTACTTTTTCTGGGCTACTCTTACAAGATACAGTATTAAAAATCGAAACGGAAAATTATTAATATAATAATCCGTAGCCTTATTACACTGGATCAAAAAAGCAAGACAACCATTTTTCTCGTCACACAATCCAGTTGTTTTTTTTTTTTGTTTAACGCGACCTGCGCTATTGGCTTAGACTTTTACCGAATGTCTTTTCAATGGGTACGTTGGGCACTGCCACCTGTAAACAGTCTTTTACATCGAATTCAGGCGCCGTATAGTCCTAGTGTATATGCTCGAAAACATTCTGCGACACACAACATTTTATACCTTTTATGGTATTAAATGAAAATACCAAAATACGTTTGGATAACTACAACCATTTATTTTACAAGCACCTCATAAATGATCTGCCTACAGTTAATACTAATGATGCAAGTTAAATATAGCAATACATGTACAGCTGATATACAAAAGGCATATTGGAAAACGAACAGCACCTTACAATGAATTAGTTGCTCGCCATCTATCAATTATGCCTCTCGTTGAAACGGACATGGTACTCATCCCACTGTTTTTTTCCACTCCAATTAACTTGACGGCTTGTGTAAAAGTTCGAATTTATTACAGTTATACTCAACCTATATAGCTCTATAGTAATACGCTACTTAGATTAACTAAACTAGTAGGCAGTAATTATTCCTGTTCTTATTTTACTTTTCGTTTTGAATTGTTGACGAGCGTCTATACAATTTCGAAGTCCGTGTAAATATATTCACTCAAAATTACAATGATTTTTTTAGAAAAGTCATTTTTTATTAATAGCTGAATATATTGAGATATTCCTTAGCATCATGCATGTAATATCATGGTGTATTTAAGCTGGCCACTGTATTTTTAACTCAACAAAGTAACATAAAAGCACACGTCTGTTACAGATATTTTTTATTGGCACAACTGTAGGCGCGGCTAATGTAAACTGATCACGTGTGATTAATGTGAACAGAGGAGAAGATCTTCTGAAGTGCCTCTTAATTACCCCGTGCAAAAAGACTGATATAATTTTTCACATTAAAACGTGTAAAGGCGGCTTGATACACTTTGAAACATTAAAATAATAAAGTACCTACTATACCTCATCTGGCTATACATTGCCGTTAACTTGTTTTTTCTGTCATACTGAACGCGTGCTGTGCAACGCGAATGTAGGACACGAATATGCATATATATATGCAGACTATATATATATATATAGTCTAGGACCTATGATTTTATGCCTGCTTTGTCCAAACTACAATTGAATACTCGAATACGCCGACAATTTTTATTCAAGCCGGCACATGATAAACTAGAAAGAGTGTGATAGGTTGGCGAACCTATGTAAATGTCAGAAATAAAAGGGGATCCATCAGATCATTGAAAGTATTGTCCTATATACACACTTAGTATACAAACTTAAACTCGTTACAGGCAATCTTATTCGGTATTTTTAAAATCCTTCAAAAGCTTACTCCTGTAGCACCGCAACGAAGCTCTCCTCACTTTGCTGTTGTCCCTGGCTGATTTCATTAGCTGTTCGTGCTGACGTCACACTGCAATTTTCTTCCTCCAGTGGCTTTTTCTTCTTCGGTGTCTTTGATTCGGTGGCAAGCGGATATTTTACACACCATGTTCGCACCAACGGGAGTGGCACGAAAATACTGTCGCCGTTCACATGGACAAACAGAGATGCCGACAAACTCCGTATACTCTCCACTGCTCTGGCGGGCTTGCATTTGTTTATCTTTTCGACAACGTCGGCACACATTTCACTTGAGCAGGGGAAGACGTTTGCATGATTTTGAAGGAGCACCATATCTTGCGAGATCGCTCCGGCTTGCCGACCGGTTCGTACAAAATTGCGGAACGCCTCCCGAATGTCGGCTTCACGATCCTCCAGCTCGAAGACGGAGCAGAGCCGTCGAACAGATTCGTCGGCAAACGTCACCGGTGCATTCGGTGGCCAATTTGTAAGATTAATCGTGTGCAGATCGCGGATGAAGTTCTCAACGAGGTGTTCAGCTAGACCAGAGATAGAAATCATGTTTTCGCGGGATAGTTCGACGATATGGTCCATGAAAGCGGCACGGTTTGGCGCCTGCAGAAGTGGGTTATCAATAAGAGGACCAACATTAATGAACATTCGTGAGCCTCCTGGTTGCAGCTCAGTTAGGGCAGCAGTTTCGAATGGGCCAGGCTGCTGTCGTAACGTCATTAGACCCTCCATCGCCTGGACGAGCACCGAGTCAGCTCGTGCCATGTCGCAATCAGTGCAATCAACTTGCATCCGCGTATCGTGCAAAAGCTTAAGGACGTCGTAAACAAGGGCAAGCTCTCGAACAAACTGTTCGCTCTCCATAAGGCCTTTAGCAAATGAATATTTGCGTTTCTCCGCTTCGGATCGCGTTGTATCATTGCCTGCCTGGATCATGTACATATAGAGAATTGCGTACGATTCACTGAGAGCTGAGACCGCTTTAAACGTGGACGCCACATCAGCTGGCTGAAACAACTGACCCACCCGCAACACCTGATCGTGTACTGAAGGTGTGTTAATAAGCAGCTCCTGAAGATTACGGTCGCTCAGTTGCGTCAGGGCAAACAGAGTCTCGTACAATTGACCAATATAGTTTGGTGCTGCGAGTTTACGCATCGTCGCTAAAACCATCTCCTCTAACCTATATGCAAGCACATACCATATCACAATTTTGTCAAATGAAAGCGCCAACTGATGGCATAGATTTGATCCGGCGCCAAGATGTACGCCGAGCGGGTCGGTCACAAAGCACATCAGGTGTTGACTAAGGAAATCCACTGTGAAGCCCCCATCAAGTAGTGATTGGGATACAACGGGCATAGGACCCATACTTGGGTCGTTTGTCGAGGGGTATGGTATCGCGTCCCAGAAAACATTTCGTAAACCTGACGACTCTGAGCGAATCCGGAGATAGATCAGAAAGACGCTCTGTGCTGAGGTAAGATATCCCTCAACGTGGTCAACGACAACGGCCAAAGGAAACCGGTGGCTCATTACTTGGCGAACAAGCTGCGATCTTATTTGCTCGGCAATATGCCAAACTATCGATACCGCTTCAAATTCTTGATAAATTGCAAAATCTCGATAGGATTTATATTTTAAATTCGCTTGAAAGGTTGCTTCGTACACTTCGAAATCAATGCTTTCTTTAACCAGCGCGTACACATCTTTGAACACCTGGGCGGTCATATGAACTTGTTTATTCAGTGTTTGCGTAACTTGACTGTGGGTCGGTAGGTTGTTTTTATTGTTATTAATAAGCTCCTCTGCCTTTACGTGAGCTTTAGATACCTCGTGTCGCTGAATTTTATTACGAAGCGACTTTAGTTGTTGTTCACGGGTTTCGCCGCTATAGGCTATTGAATATGAGACCCATTCCGATGAGACGTCTATAGAATCTCCAGCACTCGTACCCATATACTTGACACGCAGACAGTACCTGAAAAAAGTGCACCACTTGCTATTATACCCAATCATTATATTTCTATATATGTTCGATATTCTAAAGAATATGAAGTAGGGCGGTACATAGAGTTCTCATTTACTCTGTATTTGATCGCAACTAACGAGTGACTAAACTATAGTATTGAACAATCTGTTTTGAATCGAAACCTGCAGCCAAGTCGGCTTTCGCGGGCCGAAAGCCAGTGGTGCTTTGCCCGGCGTTCGAGCCACATTTCGCGTGTCCAGATCGGAGGCCAGGTGCCATCTCCTTCTTCCAGCCATTCGTCATCCATAATAGACGTTCCTCCAGAAAGCGCCTCGTCTTCATCGCCACCGACGGGTACCTCAGTTTCACCACTACGTTCACCAGGCCATTCCACAGCAGTTACGGTATCGTTGGACAGGCCAACAGATCCTTGAACGGTTTCATATGTAACCCCATCTGCTGACACAAAAATATAGAAAAGGATAAACATGCGGCAGACCAATTCTGTAATAAGCTTGATACAAATGCTCATGAGCACCAGTGCTGTTTCGAAATGAACAAATGACAACTTTCAGCTTGGGCCTATCGGCAAAATCAACAACGGACAACAAAAGGTACTCCTGTCGAAAAATACCATTGGATATAAAATTCGTAATAATTATTCGTATTACAACACACGAGATCCTACGCCACACTCTTCAACAAGACGAGAACCATTATGTGAAAGGGGTTTAAAAAGGTTCAACGAAAGTTTCAACTACAGTACTACCATAACCAACTACATTATTTAAATGGCCGTGCCACTTTGCGAAAGTGGTTCAGTCAATAGCTACACTCTCGTTTGCTTTCTAGTAGAACTTTTTTGTGCAAATTATGCTATGCTAATTCGTGTGTTTTTTGATGTGGAGTAGCAGGTTTATGCATTTAAAGCTAGGGGTGCCAAATATGTAAACAGCGCTTGATAGAAAGAGACAGACTGAGATTATATATTAGTGGTGACGAATACTCATGAATGTTGACCCTAATAGGGTCAGCAAAAAGTTTTGGGTAAGTGACTTAACGACAGTAAGAAATGAAACGTGTGAAGTTAGCTAGGACCCACAACTGGCACTAATGCAGTGTCTAATTAAGTGGCCGACGTGGTTTGTCTGTTCACCTTTGATGCGGTTTTTAGAAAATCAACATTAAACCGAACAAGAGTACCGGGAATATCGTAAACATCAAGGGGCATACTACTAAAATACCTTGGTGTGAAATGGATTTCATTTGATATTTTCGTTGTTAACTAAATATGTATAAATCCACGTATAGTTCGGGAACGCTAACACAAAACAACGATGTTACCGCAACCTTATACCGATTTCGAGGCTACTTTACAACGCATTTTTGAACATAATTTTGTATACCGCTCTGTAAAATACTAAGAGCATAGTGAACTTCATCATTTTAGAGCAAGTCTATGCTGCAACAAAACTGTCGCGCTACGAAACAAATAGGATTTTTAGTACTGTAAAACAGAAGAAATATACTAAACGTAAGGCTTTACATAACTTGATGAATCTGGCGTAGAAACAAAGGCCCTATGGTTTTTTTTTGTTCGAACCCGAAGACCAACGCCAACCTTGTAATCGATCGCATTTACATGATGGTTGCGACTGATAGATGTTATTTGTGTCAATCTCAATATATTTGTGTCAATCGTTTGCCAATTGTGTTTGACGCAAAACTAGTCATTCCTTACCACCCTCAATATTCGTCTGACCTTCGTTAGTATTATTCACGATGCTATGAGGAGCAGCAACTTGAACAACGACGGTTTCAGTTGCTACCGTCTCCGAAGCCGCTGTCGTTACAGTAGCTGTGACATCTCCTAAAACCCCCGCGACTGCCGCCCCCGTATCGTCAACAACTGTTCCAGCAGGCACTGCTATAAGATCCCCTCCAGACTGTATCGCCTCCACTAACAGAACCTCTTCTGCCTGCTCCGCTCCGCCGACATCTTCGCCTGTACCAGTCTCCGTTACCGTAAGCTCAAGCTGGTCGAGACCCGCGAGTTCACCGGTCGACTCGGGTTCTGTGCTAGCCTTTGCTAATTTGGCCACCTTTATGGACTGCTGCTCATTCCCGGAATGGATACCCACGTCTGTCGTATGGACAAGGTTAGTCCCAGATGTAGAAACTACTACCAAATTGGTGTTGCCGGCCGTCAGAGCAACCGTATGTGAAGGCCTACCGGCAACGATAGCTGCTGCCACACTAGCGCTGCCGCCGCCGCCGCAATTATTGCCCACAACATTTACGGGAAGAACTTGTTCACAATCGGCGCCGCTCTCAGTAGCGCCAGGGTAGGCGCGCTTCATTATAACACTAACACGTCGTCTAGGGCCGAAGAGAATTCACAGAGGGGACAGTTTTTCTTGTAAGAGCCACTCGCCAAATTAATGAACGTTTTGCTGACGCGCAGAACAGCACAAACACAAAATGAGCATAAAACACTTGGTGTATTTTGGCAAAACGGGTTTTGACTGGGGTCACGGCACGTAGCCCACGCAAAAGACAAACATCGGTCGGACCCATTCGAAGTCAGTGATCACAAGCCACCTGCGTGGCGGTCGCCATCTTGTTTTGGCGCCAAATATGGTTTATTGATTGTTAATGGAGCTTCACATATTTAGCGCGATTTGTGAGCGCACTAAAGCAAGTTATTAGGTATATTCTTTTACAGCGATGGATTCACAATATCTAGAATAACAGACTCTGATTTTGGGACACTGAACTGATACAGTCTGTGCGTTGCAGAAGGGATAAGTTTAATAAGTAAATAGCAGGTGATTAATAAAAGTTCATGCCATACACATAAAAGATGTTCTGCCCAACAACCCATGTGGAGTATTCGTTCCCATCTAAATTTCTGCGGGCTGATGCAATTATATCCCAGCGTATTCAAGTCAGTATATTCTCCCAAGTGTTGTAATATTTTTAATGGGCATTTTTCCGTCTTCTACTTCGTTGTCATTGTCAGGCTGGCACGATAATCTAACGGGTAAAACGGAGCAGGTCTCCGCCAACGGGTCATTCTTTAGCATGATAGAATAGATGCTAAAATAAATTAACTATTTTTATTTAAAAAAAGACGTGGAAGCGTACAGTACTGTGATAGTATGAACACCTTTATACTATATAACTTCATGCTAATCTTTATATGGTTCTGAGTCGGAGGCGATTCTTGCTGCCTGGCCTAGGCGCAGTTATTAACGTTCCTCTTTCTTTAAACATACGCACTTTCCTATACAGTCTATATATGGTACATAGAAGGCGCCCACGTAACTGGTATACGTTTCGTATACGCTACCATGTTTCTTTAAATTGAGAGTCCGCTTAGTTCAAACAGGAGCATCATGTACATTTTTAAATATGTATGTCATGAAATTGCAAGTAGGCATTCACATTACATCAACAGTTTAAAAGCTTTTTTGTTGTGGTGTCCTTGTTATTTGTTGGCATAGAAACTGACGCGCGGATGCTTTTAAATTAAACCTTAGTTTACGTAGTACATTTTGTTGAATTGCCTAAATATTGTATTAGTGTTGTATTAATGTTGAGCTAATGTATTAAAGTTCACTACGTCTTACGTTAGCTTGTTTGCGATGTGTAACATTGAATTTGGGAACGGTGTTTCCAGAAAGAGCATATCGGGAACTATAATACTAGTTTACTAGTGTAGGCTTGATGTATAGTTAAGAAGGGCTCATACCATGGGGATGTAGTCCTAACTTTCAATAAAAATTAACTTTATCTGTTTACATAGAGTTTCGATATCGTATGTAGTTTTCGACTGTGTACGTTTTTAGATGACGGTTGTTTCAGTGTTTTCCGATAGCAGAATTCGTTATACTTGTTTGTTAGTGCCACACTTATCCGATTCGAGTAACTAAAATAAGTACTCACTGAATTAGAATCTACGAAAACCGGAGTATAGGGTTATTGACTGCAACACGCTATTTATTTGATCTGAAAGCAACAAGTTCACATAAGCAGTTTTTTTTTACATTGAAGTTTTTTTACATTTACATTAAAGATTTACCGCACATACATTGTATGTACTATCACAATGTGTTCAACAGATACTACGCAGCACAATACATACTTTGATTTGTATTAAATTGTTAAATAGATGCTCCAAAGAAAATTCTCGAAAAAGCAATCATTTAGTTTGCAAAGCTTTCTATAGTTTTATCTAATTTATTCGATTCGTTAGCTAACCTACCTAATTGCAATAGCCGCCTCCTATCCACGCCCTATAGGATAGAGTCCTCCTTTCTAGTGCAAAAATGATTCATTGGGATCTCCAGGTAAAGTGACGTATCTGTAAGTTCGACTACAACTTCATTTTCAATTGAATAACCTTTCAGGATCGGTGGCTCTACTTAGTGCCACTTTTAGGTCACCCCAGGACAGGTTGATCTCATTTAGCGCCACTGTTAGGAGTTCTTTGACAGCTTTTGGCACTGTGCCTTCACCCCCGGAACGCCGATCGATGAGCATCAACATAACTAAGAATACAACTAGTGCCTCTTTAGATTGTACCATGCAATTATCCTTTGTCAAGTTAAATGTGTCGATGAGCTCCGAAAGAGCTTGTGACATCTGCAGTGGTGGCACTGGCAAATGAGTGGCAAGCCTGTCTGCAATGGGTCTTAAGCGAGCAAACAGAATCTGCTTCCGAGCAGCGTGGCGCTGATGTTTATCTACCGGGGGGAGCACGGGTTCCGCTATATCTGTAGAAACGGTAGTTTTTGCATTTTCGTTGTCGATTGTTGATGCTACCGTTGGATTGGTGGCTCCGACAACAGTGGCTGAGACAGTAGTTCTGTCTCCGGTGATAATGGGACTGCTATCTGGCAATTCTATAGCCTTCTTCGAAGGCCCTCGTCGAGGTTTCCTTTGAATCGCCTTTACAGATTTTTTTGTTGTATTACTGTAGTCTCCGTCATCGTATGTTATGCCTTCGAGCCTGTCTTGCTCGTCGAGAAAACGACAGAGCCTCTCATACTTCAGTAAGTACTCTTCATGCTCAATGGAAATAGGCTTGCTTTTGCCTTTGTCAAATTTCGCACGCAGCTCGAGAAATCGATCTTGGCCTACTATGTAGTGTAGTGTAGAGATGGTAATCCACTCGCAAAGGAGAGCTTCCAATCTGCTTGCGCCCATGATCAGTTGATGTTCGCAGGCTGCTTGTGACGGAGGTTTTGGGCTAACAGAATTCTCTCGCAGTCTCATTACGGGTTGTATTATTGAGGCTTGCGGCCATGACAGGGCATGGGAACGTTTCTTTTCGATGGCCACGTTTTCTAGGGTGTCCACACATTTATCGAGCTCAAACTGAAATAGATACGTATGTCAACTACGGGACTTTTATCCATTAATAGTATGTGATTAATAAAAGTAATAATCAAGAAATATTGGTAGTTATGGTTCGGTATTTCACTGAAACATTAAGTGACCCATTGACTACTCAAATGCAGAAATTTACAACCTTGCATAAATTCAGTGAGAAGATGCCAAAATATATATTAAAATATATATATCCTTATATTAAAAAACTTCTGCTCATTATTTGGCTAAAAATGTGTACCTCCTCAAAGGTAACCCTCCTCGGCGATGAGATTACACAGTCTGGATTAACGTCGAGTTCATGTCCGGCAGCACGAATATGAAGATTTGCTTTCGCGATGTAACTGTCTGTTTGTTCATTTTTGATGTCCCCCCTTATTTGTAAGTTCTCATTTTTAAGTATGTCAAGTGGCTTGTTATATGGCTCTTCTATCAGCCAATGGGGAACCTCGCTCAGTTGGCGTTTGATCCATTCGGAAGCCTTATAGCACCATGCACTGCAAAACAACCGCCGGCTTTCCATTTTGAAAACCTGCATGAAGTTGGAACACAATTATAGTTTTGAGCACCGAAACGATAAGTAATTGCCTTATCAAATCCGATACTCCTAAATATATATGTTTGGTAACTGGCAAAGACGGTCACAATATATTATCGCTATTTAGTAGGACGGTTGGGTTAGATCTACTCTAGAAGCATACAGTCTTGTTAATATTTCCGCAGGTGTTTCATTTGAATCCGAAATACGTAATCTACTTTCGGTGCAATAATCTGCTATCGATTGAAGGAATCAGTCATTAAAAAGCTAGCAATGAGATTTGAAAGTACACTTATAATAAGCCCGAGTGGACCAGTTCGCGTTAATGCGTTAGCTCAACCTGGTTTTCTTTAAGGATTTCAGGATTAGATTCTACTACAAATGTACATTTTGCCCGTACCTTATTCGTACGTATGCAGATTTTGTACTGAGGACATTTTTTGCTTGGTGGCGATACCGGGTTGTCGCATAGTGGGTACCCACAAAGGAGGCCGAGTGCCCGCTCTTCAGTGCAATCTTGATAGCCTTGTTGCCATAACATTCGACATTGTTCACTGAAACAACACCAGATGTCGCTCACAACAGTTCAAAATTACCCCCTAAACCTCTAAAAATACTATGCAGGTATTAGCCGATGAACATCTATCAATTTATAAAGAGTATAGGAACAAATAATTACAGAAAGGGATGCTTACTGTAATAGGTCTGGCCTCACTTCTTTTTCGATTATTCTTAAAATACACCTTAGTCGGTAAGAGCACTAACAAACTTTTAAAGCACTGCAACATTTGTGTAATGAAGTAAGCCCATAGTTGAGGTAGGAACAAATTTCCAGCTACGAAAAAAGCATATGCACAGTTAAATACCAAAATACTTCACAAAGTATAAACCTATGTTTGGGTCTAACGTTAGATAGAAGTGCAAATTAACGTTTTTCTATTTAGCACGCTTAGGACGTTTTTTCTTTTGACCTTTTGCCGAACACGACACTCAATAGGCTAAGCGTTTTCCCCGTTAGCATTTAGGTAAGAGTTCTTCGAACTCACACAAAGTAAGCTTCGGAAATATCTCTTTCAAGCAAAGCCTCTACAGCGCGGAGTGAATCCTTTTCAAGTTTCCTTTTTTTCTCGATCTTGCGTCGAAGTTGTTCAGCACGTGATGCTGCGGCATTTTGGGCCGCCTTCTCCGCAGATGCCATTGTGATTTTTGTTAAGCTATAATCCACATGGACGGGTTACGTAGTGCCGCCACTGCCATTGGAAAAAAACGAAAAAAAAATCGGTTAGGTCAGTGACCACTTGCGAGAAGGGGCTTGGATAAATTTCACCATGTAAGATTAGACCACACTTTTAAAAAAGCTAGCTTAGGGTACTATTAAGCGCTGTCAACGGCACTCTTATTCATGAATATATGTTCTTATAAAAACATGTAATTCATCGCTCAGGGACCTTACAAATAAATCTATAGCGCTGCATATGGAACGCAGTATGTGCGGTTGCTTCCATTCCATTGTTCATTATATCTTTTACAGTTTAGTATTAGCGATGGAGATTTCTTTGTTTGAGAAACACTGTCTAAAAGCTAGGACGTCTACAATTCTTTATTTGAAACCGATCCCATGAAATGCACCTAATTCTGTGACTGTTAGTTAAAATATTGATTCGACTTGGGCTTGATGGTGTAGTAGTCCGAGTTAGTTCCTATTCCGATTGTCAGTACTGATGTGCTGTGCAGAAACCAATCGTCTTTTGTCATTAAAATCTATACAAGCTATCCAAACGAACCCTAAATCGACCAACAGCTTTGACGAAGTACGATGTTATATGTAACACGGTATATTATACAAGTTAAGATAGAATCACCTCTTGATGTTTTTGATGGTAGCTAATTTAATGAGATGATTAATTACGCAGTTGTTGCAAGCTGGCTCTGTTTTAGGTCTCAGTTCCGTTTTTTAATTTGGTTTCCGTACATATTGTTCTGTGAAAATGCCGGCATAACCAACTGATTTTAGTAATGACCGAAGAATCTGCAGACTCCAAACGCTTGGGATAACTATAGGTTATACACACCGGGATTCAACGTTCTTCTCAGGCGAATCCGCAAAACTCAATGCGGCCAGCTCGGTTGACTCTCACAACTGACTCGAATATCAACAATAATAAAACAATAACAGACAGATGAACGCATTGTCCCTGTGTGCCTTTAATGTCCTACGTAGTGTTGTGTCAGTGGTATACACACAGTGTGCTTACAGTGGTTGGACTTATCAAGGAAAGTTGATTATTGTATCGGTAACAATAAACAAACGTTACAAAAAGAGCTCGTTAGAGGCCAAAGCAGTACTGGATCGTAGTGCAGTCGAACAATCAGTTTAACGGTGCCAATCTCGCTGGAATACGGTGGAATAAACTTTCCAACTAACACATGCTGCAGGGTCCAAGAGCAGTACAGTAAAAACTCTTCCGGAACTCCACAAACCCCTTTCCCTTCATCCATCGCGCAACGGCGCTTAAGTAATTGGCTTCTCTTTCGCTTCCTTGGTGGGGCACGGAACCTCTCGAGCAATACCAGATGATGCGCTCAATGGCAACTTTATGTAAATAAACAACAAATCGGAGCAACGGCTGAAATCTAAAATTTACTGGCTGGACGAGTATGGCTCATGGTAGAGCGATGCGTGTGCGTACACTCTATGAGTCTCGATGAGTAGGAAAATTTCTTCAGAAAAATTCGCTAAAACTATCGTTACTAGTGCAACGAAATTGTTTGGCGGAACTTTGAAGCACATCAAATGAAAAAATCAAGTTAAATAGGTGAGCGCTGGTGTTGTATGGTTCGCTTAGTTTTACGTAATATTCCGTCGTTTCCCAAATATTTTCAATTGTTTTCGGCGTATATGAGTGAGATGCAACTGGAAAATATGGTTCAATAACGTAGAGTAATAAGTCATAAATGATTCAGAAGGCAGTTTCAAGTCCATTTAGCTTATTTCGAGCTGAAAAAATTTTGGCGACGCATGCCTTGTGTGTAGAACGTTTCTGATTGTGAACATTGTTACGATAGGCTTAATTTGATAGAATACTGTGGTTTTTATTATAACCATGTTTAAATGAGGCAGATGTTATCGCGCTACGATACATTTATTGTTTGTGTGAAGGAAAATAGTAACTAGACGCTGAATTTCGTCAGCCGATATGTAGCCACTAAACACTCGTTGTCGCTCACTAAGGGAGATCGACATAGAATTGAAAAATCAACTACATTGTAGAAAACCATATGGGCTGTCATTAACAGAGTACGTGTAGATTAGGTTACCGCGAATGCCTGATTGCCTAGACTTAGACTACGTAATTGTGCATTATAAAAATACTAGGGTAATCCAGCCTTTATTAGAGGAACATGAGAGCCATGTGAGCTCTTTAAACAAGCGCAATACTAGAGTAGCTCATCAGGTCCATAAATATTTTCTCAACTTGCACTTAGATATTTAACGTCACTAAAAGACATTGAGTAAACCGGAGTCTCATAATGTTCGATGCAAAAATAATCTTCATATTAGAGAGGTTGGGTAACTATGTGAGGTTGGTTGAGATCAGTGACAACATATACCTGTAATAATCTAAGTTTCTATAACCCCTTTGCGTGAAGATTTTTAACTTTCTGCAAATTCCCGATTAGGTCGCAATAGATGAACCACAAAACATACCGTATCACTGGCTGGCTCTGAGACGTTTACAGGATGAAACGTAAATCACTACAAGCAAACAAAAGATATGTTTTTTTTTTTAGAAAAACAAGATAGTTAACTACTCCGGGGTGAGTGTTCTTGAAATTTGTTTGAAAATATTGTCTTTATTTGTTCGTTTTAGTAGTGATTTCGGTTAACTTGTTCTTGCAGGTGGGCAATTTCTGTTGTGTTGAGTACTTTTTGTTGTGTTGATTATAATACTTTATTGTGTTATTTAAAAATAATTTAACTTTTGCAGGGTTTCAGATTTCCCGTAGATCGCAACTACCATCATCGGGGATGGGAACCCATGTGGCTGGTGAGATTTGTTTAAATGGTTATACTACGCTTTTCCTGTGCTTGATACTACACAATTACGCAGTTCTGCGACTCTTTTTGGCCATTTGTAGCTGCTGCATATGTATAATACCTGATCCTGGCGAACATTCCGCATGCAAAACATTTGACGATAATAACCAGCTGATATATATTCTGCAGTTCATAGATATCCTGTGTCAACCAGAGGAGGCTAGATTCCTGAAGACGATTATCTATACTATATTGTATCCCCCAAAACGTGCATTCCACTCTACGAAGTAAAAAGATTTTATCTCGGCCACAGTGCACGTATTCTAATTTAAGCTATGAGTCAAGTAGTAACACAAATAAAATGGGCAGCTTAAGGAACAGACATCAAATTTTCGGTTTTTAGCCGGTGAATTGAAATCTCAGTGAGCGTGAGTGTATGTGTGTGTCTGAGTGTCTGTGTATGTGTGTGTGTCTGGGACGAGAGGGCGAAGCTTAGAAACGTTCCATAGGGTCATACGAAATGACAAATAATTTATAGCCTTTTCCATGTGGATTTCCCAATTAAAATAATTGGACTTTATTTACAATGCCTGTAAACAAACACGACAGTAAATGAAACAGCAAATAAGAAAATAAACGTTATTAGCCATCCTTTATTTACGACTAGTTGCCGTATTTGACTTATGTTAAATTCTGACGGCAGTAATTCTACTTGGTAACTATTTATGGCAGTAAATCCAATTGTAGTAATTAAGCATGCATTGTAAATAATGAACTTTTATTAATATGCTACCAATATCGCAAATGGGGCGGGATAGGGCAACTGTGGGTCTGTGTATTCAATTCATTAATTTCTGTCGAGCGCGAAACAGCTTTCGCAAACGGGGAAATTTATATAACAGTGCAAACCTAACCATGATCGTTCGCTCTATGGTTCTTACAGAAAAGAAGCGGTCACCCGCAATGAGCCAAAATGACCCCGATAGAATTCGTGAGAACTATGAGGTATGGGACTTGTGAAGCTACTATTATAGATGCAGAATATAGAAGTGTATATTGTGCACACCAGCTCAATATCCGTACCGTCGCTTCGACTTTCAGCATTGAATAGGCCCAAGGGAACGTTATTTAACATTGTAGTGTTTAATTTTCAGGAAAGCGTGGAAACTGTGGCTCGAATGATGGATCATATTGATTCGTGCTATTCCTTCCTGGATGACAAACTTTACGCTCAGCAAATAGCCGGCCAAATATCTGATCCAATTGGACGTTACCCAAACATTAGCCTGAAAAACTTCCACCTCGTAAGGTCCAACCAGAACAAGCGGAAAACAGGCATAGGTTACCTCAATCGGCGACGACCTGGGCCAGTTGCTAAAAAAGAATCCAAACAGTCAACTATTGCTGATAGACAGGCTGAAGGCTCGTTAGAAGCTCTACGTTTTAGTGACATTGTTTTTGATCAGCAGGTAAAAACACTTTCCAAGCGTGACAACAATAATATTTTTGCCGTTACCCCAGTTTCCACTATGTCACGTACAAGTAGCGCAAAACAGAGCGAAAGGTCATTATTAGGTTCTGCAGGTAGCAGTGAGCATAAAACAGTAACAAAGAAGAATTCCTCAAACTCTATACTATCGTCATTAGTTGTGGATGTGGATGATATAAAACCAACGATTCTGCCTGATATCGTAACAACTACAATCAAACGAATCGTTCTCCCACCGCCAATAAAAAAACAAACGACTCAAACATCAGGTCTTTTATCGAAGTTCGGTGAAACCAGATGTAGTACTCTACCAGCGGTCCGTGATAGCTCAACTACATCACAACCGTCTGCTAATGCAACGATCTTGAAGACCCCACAGGCGTCAAACAACGGTAGCAATAGTGTTAATCGTACTCCGCCTACGCAACATCTCTTGGTTAAGCCTCGACCTCGCCGTCAGGCTTCGCTACGAGTTAGCGAATTCGTGCGAGCTGAAGCCGCCCTCAATGGCCATGATCTTGACTTGCACGAAATCGATGAGTCTCCAAGTCCGAATCGAGTAGGAGCTGACAGCGCAAAAGGGGACATCATTGGGGATGAAACTGGAGAAGACCACAATGTCATGCGTAGTAACACAGATGGCCTGAATAATTCAGATAAGGCCGGTGTGTCCAATGTCGACGAAGATAAAAGTGGCAGTGGCGTTGATATTGATTGTGGCGATGCCAATCCGAGTAGTGGGAATATAGGAGCTGACAGAATTGATGCTAATGCATTAATGGACGAGCTGCAGTTATCAGAAGATGCGCCTGTGCAAGACAACAGCGAGCCGACAGGCTTTTCATGTTTGTACTGCGATCGAACGTTCATTCAAGCAGAAGCTATGGAAAATCACATCATGGACGAGCATGTGTATCGCTCAGTAGCGACGTCGAAGCGGCCCGCCAAGTCGATTATGCCCGCTCGTTCTGCTGGCAAGCCAGTCTCGTTAAACACACCAAAAGCGTCCGCAGCGACCAACCGCCATGATACAGTTCGACCCCCACCCGGTAAGATTATAACGATCGAATCGCTAGTCGCTGCGCACTTCGCCGCTGCAAGGAAGCGAACCAAGTCTGGCCGTCCTCAGCTTTGCATGGTGTGCAAGAAGACCTTCTCGTCCTGGAGTCAGCTCAAGAAGCATTTGCCAATACACAGCAGCGAAAGGCCATTTAAGTGTCCATACAACGGGTGTTCATATGCGTCGGTGCAAAAGGGCAACCTTAAAGTGCACATGGTAGGTGTTCATGTAAGGCGACAGGAGAAAATGGAAGCAAAAATGGCCAAATTGGACAATTCATTTGAAATTTCTCAAAGTAGTAGGGGGAACTGTGAGTAGAATCGGAGATGTGATCGAAATTGCGCGTTTGTGTGTATGCAGAAGTGAACTGTGTGTACTGATATATATATAAGCATACATAGAAAACTATGATAGCATCAATTTAACGAAACATTGTAAACTCTGTAAGCTGTTTATGCATGTACAATATAAATAAATAATTTTCCTTAATCATCCGGATATTGTGTAGTGTGTACAATATAAGGTTGAATGTGATCTATAGTATAATAGAATTTAGAACTGCTATGACACAGTATAGCAATGACCACCATAACAGTCACGAAAGTAATAATAATGACAGTATTAAAAATAGAAGCGAACATATGACGATACCAAATACATTAAGTGGTCTATTTGTATGACACATATACATATTCATGGATTGTATATACGGCACATTGTGCGCCGTTTAGATTTGTTCGCAAAGAGTTCTTTGTGACTTAATTTACTATTTATAAGCGTCAACAAGTGATCTAAAAGATATGTTACAACTTTAAGAAAAAAGCGCAAGGCACTCGTTGTACTTGATAACTGGCGAACCATCTAGTTTGCTTTTCTACGTTAAGCTGTTTCCTATTGTTGACAAAATGCCTGCAGAAAGATGTTGGTGAAAAACAACCTTAGCTATGTTACTATAATGATTGTGTCAAATTAAGCCTAACTATGTGAGAGAAACGGATTAGACATAGTTAAATGTCTAAACTCGGAAAAACGTTTTACTATTCAACTTCTGTTGCTTTGTATTGTTTTGATTATTGTGTATTTTTTTTTTATTTTTCTTCATTACTTGCCTTTAACCAGACGTAGAGGCATTGGGCTGAAACTTTAAAAGTGGTTTACCACGATTATTTATCTTTTAAATTTAGTGTCGTTATACAAAATGATTACTAAATTGTTAGAAAAAAATATTACCAATTATTTCTAAGAAGTGAGGTGTGTCAGTTTAGTTGTACTAATTATTTAGTCTCTAACCGTTGGTGCGCTATATGGCAAAAGTTAAGTTTTTAAGTTGTGCGCCATTTATGTGAAGAACGTTACCAACAGGGTTTCAGCTGTTTCCTCATAATAAATAAAGATTAATAAAGATAAAATGCTGTGTTTATTTACAATCGCCGTCATTATGTTGTCGCCGAAAATGTATATGAAACGAATATTTGAAATAAACAGATTCAAGTCCACTCCAATATTTTACATCTTTCAATGAGCAAACTTAAGAAACTTGCCCAACGACGCGTCCTCCATATATTGTACATAGATTTAGATTGTATCTGTGTAGTTATCTTCCTACAGCTCATTTGTTATTATTGATAATACTATTTTTTGTCGCTACTGTAGGTATCGAGAGAGTTGTTTTACCAAAGAAGTCACTATACTTTTCGCTGTTATACGGGGTTATTGTTCTGGCCCATGACGGAGCCACACAAAAAGTCCATTTCGTTCCTGGTTCGTTTTATAGTGTACCTCTCATACCAAAGAGCCGGACTAATTCCCTGAATCTACGTTAGTATTGGAAGGAAGACATTAAAACGCAGTACTAACCCTCAAAACAACAAAAATACGGCACTTGATATGTAAAGCATTAATTCAGACCGCTGACTTTCAGCACGAAACAAAGTACGTTGTCGCTTGGATCTAACCCTGGACCACCGCTGTTTTCCTAGTCCATTATGCAGACATCTCACCACTCATCTATCACGAGTTACATCATGAAGTTAAACAATATTTCTTGTCTTGGCATCTGCAGTCATTATTCGGAGGCGGTAATTTATAGGGTAGCTTAAGTATTTTTAAATTAGCACTTCAAAACGTCAAAAGCTAAACAACGTTTCTTTTACCAAGACAGATTACCAAGAGCCTGTTGAAGGAACACATTCAACTTTAGAAATAATTAATTAATTAACAAACCTTGTTGGATCTATTTTGAGATTACTTAGTTATGAATTAACTATTTCCTATCCTACGCAAGCGAAAAAATCAAATCCTTAGGATTAAGATAGCTATATTTGTTGACATTTGCAAACTATATTTATCGACGCTGACAGCTAGCTGGACTAGGTAATGAAAAATAAATGGACTAATCATAATAGTGAATTCAAGTTGTACAGTACATGGTCGGATTTTTCATTAGATCCCTTAGCAGCCTAAAATATTTTTTTATATTATGGAAGCGGCGAGCTGGACCAAGCTATTCTGAATAGGAAAAAATTAATTATTCTGAGATTATGTATGGTGCAGCGTAGTTATAAGCATGGAAAGAAAACAGGGTATGTTTAAGGGGAGCGAACCCAATTGTGATACATCCTCATATATCCGAAGTCGCGTGAGAGTAAATTTTTACATCTGTATAATAACATAATTAGAATGGAATGTACGGACGCTAGGCTAGCTCTGACTGAACGGATAAAATCATTTTACGCGAGAGCCTCAATCAAAACTCTATTTGAAACGAGCCCACGAAAAATTGAAGGTGAAAATAGATATAAGTTCTGTCCTGCCCATTTTTCCCTCTTTCCCTTTGTATGTGTGTTTACCGTCTCGCCCAACGGCCGCCGCAAAGCATTCCGTCTCGCTTTTCTATTTGTTTTCAGGTCTGCTCACTAAGAGCTGGAGCGCCTCAACGTCGGAAGTACGTTGTATGCCAGCGAGTTTCGCGAGAGTAACAGCTGCATCATCAGCAAAGCGCTAACAGTGTTTCAGGAGCGCTATTGATTTGAAACTAATAGTAAGTAACCTATGCAAGGCTTCAAAAAACGTGTTTGAAGATACCCATACTAAACGCAGTATAACTTATTATAACACATTCTGTTACAACCCAAACGTCTGGCATTGCAAATATAATAACAATAATAATATTAATAATAATGAATTCGTGTTTGTATTATATTTATGGACGTTTTGATTTGACAGATCACGTACAACCATGTGTCAGTGCATTTGTCATATCCTCTTATCAGTGGTGTGGACCCTTGGCCTTATTTTGATCGCCTATCCAGTAGCCTTTTTTATCGGCGTTTTCTACATCCTTATACAACCTTTGCAGGTAGTTTGAAGAATTTATTCCCTTATTGAATGGCTTACCAAATGACAGTGCATTTTCTGAGTTTCTCAGCGGAATGTATAGCAAAGGAACAGATAATTACGACTTTGGATAGAAAACTCTGTCTGAATATCGTCAGACAGAACAAGGCACCAAAGTATTTAGGTAACTCGGCGCGGTGCTTTTTTGTATAGTTTCTGACACTGTACATACTTTGTATTGTGGAAAGCGGCTTTGATGATTTTGTCAACCATCGACCAGCATTTACGAAGCATTTCTGATACCTAATGATTGCCAAATATCCATTGGTGGACATATACAAAAGTGTTCGATATATCCTTTTGTATTGTAATATTTTTCTCGTTCATCTCGTTCCGCACCCAGTACTACGTCGATATCGATTCACCAATGAATACTATTAAACATAACGAACTATCTACAATTGAGTAATTGATTTGTTTGCTTATCATCACACTTTTTATGCCTTTGGTTATTACTAATGTGGGGAAAATTCCTCAGAATACCGTTTTCGATAAAGCTTGCTCCCTCTAGAGGGTCTAGCCATTATGTATCCTGCTGAGCTTATGTGGGATTTCTCGAAAATACCGGTGTTCTATTTGAAGGAGCTTCTTGTTATGTAAGCCTAATAGTGTTTTTAGTGGGAATCCAATGAAATGTCGTCTGGAGCCTTAATGCAAATATGCGACATTAATTGCTGTTGAAAAGAAGAAACAACTTCAATGAGTGATCAATTTCTGATTAGTATAACAATCATCCGTTATAAAACCCCTAATCCCTATATAAAATTTAGAGTTAAAAACACTCGAAACAAAAGACCATATTTATAGAATCTGACAATTAAGGATGACGATTTAACGGAGTGTGGCTTGAACCTTCTAGGAAGTATGTCCGGCGTGCTGTGAGGGTCCTGTTGAGTTTTTCCGATCTGTCATGAAGTGGCCCCTGACGTTTAGCGAACAGATCGTCAAACATTGCACTTGTGGAGCGGCTTCAGTCTCTTAGAGCCGAAACCCACATAATTTTCCTATGTACATATATCGTGTAAGAGCTTTGAAGGATGAATAAATTATTGTATTATCTTTAAATTAACCTATGTTTTTCTTGTCAACGAAGAGGATTTAGAGCAACAATTGTTATCTAAAAGTGCCAAAATACAGAATTGTCCTGGTGAACCTGGTGAAATTAATACTGAGTTATTTGAGATGCCGTTGTGTTTGTTTATCTCCCTTAGAGTCCTTAGAGTTGCAATATAAATATATTTTTTTTAATTCACCCTAAAAGGTTTTTATTATTGAGATTGACTAGATTATAGTGGAAGGCGACGTAAAGGCAAAACATATTTGTCGTAAGCTACACGAAGGGAATACACATACGAACAGAATAGGGCTATGCAGGCTTAAATTTTGCATGATCAGTGTGACCCTATCTATTGCTCGAGGCGTCGTAATATATAACAGGGGCCGATTGAAGCAAGTATTGGGCTTCAGTGTGGTGTACCAATTTTTTTTAATTGAAGGCGACAATGAATAAAAAGATCACTGTCAAACGAGACTAGTCTACTTTTGAGCCTTTTATCATTACAGTGTTTTTTTTTACAAAGAAATAACAATCGGGTTTTGCTAGATTTGCGATTAACGTGGCGGCCCGGGCCATTCAGTTCAATGGGCAATTGTCTGCGCTAGCTACAGTGTGCGTGGTACAGGCACAGTTGACATATGGATGGGATCTCCCACGTAGAAAGAGCGAGTATTTCTGAGGGGAAGCAATGCAAAGTTGATGGTTGCTGACTGTAAGCATTAGTATCAAATTTAGCTAGTGACAGATCTAGTGGTTATAAACGATTCTATCGCGATTGTTTAGAAAGGGTGTCGTGCTGAGCTAATAGCAGAAATGGTGATTCAATACGGTGAACCATAGCTCTTATCAAATGACAACTTTACTTGATAATTGTTCTTTGTTCTGACAAATCGTTTTGAGCGGTCTACGTATAGGCCGTTGTTTATCGACTTTCGGCTCAGACTAGTTTCGATTAACCATACCGTTGGATACATACGTTTACGATGAACAGAGATTACCTACAATTGAAACAATTATTCCTTTAAAAATAGAAAGTTCCATAGATTATTTTTCTATCGTCTCGTCGTTCACCGTTACCAAGCGGAGTGGCCGTCTATCTCCGAGTAATAATTCAAACGCTAAAATAACAAAGAGTTTCACGAGGTTAAAAAAATATACAGCGTTATTCCTAAATGCTATATGGATACTTGCGGCTCTATTTCTTTCTAGCTCACGTACGACACATCAGCTTTCCGCGATCACAAAGGATTAGAAATGGCTGGCAGGCAACCAGTGCAAATGAGTAGTGCAAAGGAAAGACGTAGACGCGAAAAGTAGCTGCCCGTCAAAAAGAGTGGTACACGAGACGACTCTAGCTGGCGTTGGCGCTCGCGTCGCCACCCTTCATAACAACCAATTTTACGAGAACAGTCAGATATTTTATTGTTATACACACGTTTGAGTTTGCTAGGGGCTGGTGTGGTACAAGCAACGCAAGACGACATTCTGGTGAGTAACAAAAATAAGTGACAGACTATGTAACGTCATAATATAGGAGCATTCAAGTGAACAGTCAACCAAGACATTGAGATCAATCAAAAATAACATGGTGTTCTCACGTAACACATAACATACAATAACAAGGATCAAAATCAATTACCGAATTGGCAACTGCTAATAAATTTTACTAAATTGATATACTTTGTAATTTGTATTGCGCGAGCTTGGGTACGAGAATGTACGTCTTCAAAGCACAGTGTTCATCGGAACTGATTTACAACTCTTAGCCTCATGACTAAGTGTATCAGCTCTTTCTAGCTGGGCTTTTTGTGCAGGGATAGATTGGCTTGTACGTCGAATAGCATCGTCAACAGGAAATAACCATCATACTTCAACTGTTGTGCATGAATGTGTGTCTGTTAGCTTTTGAATGGATTATCTCCTCCGAGCGTAGAGTAATGGTATATGGTGATATCATAATAGGAGCAAATGAGCGAGAGGTTAAAAGGTAATATTGTTGTTCATCCAATAAAATCATCCAGTATTAGAACATAGATCAATCGGTCAATTAATTCATAGTGAGATGGCGCAATTAATATCGCTGTTATAACAGTAACTACAATGGTAAAAATGCAACTTATTTAGGGAAGCAACGCAGTACTTTGAAAGGACGTAAGAAGGGTATATACGTAACATATACATGACCAACGGCCGATGTCCACATCGCATTCTGACACGTAACACGGTGTAAGGTATAATGTTTTGCGGTTCTCAGGTTCTAAGTAACATAGACTAAGTCCGTAGAATCTCTCAGTAGAAAAAATATAACATTCCGAGTAGGTATTCACTTCCATTTATCTGAATACATACGTCATAATCGCTATCAACTTAATAATTGATGAAACCCATGTTACTAGTATCTACTGCAAAAATACAGCACACAAATATACGCTACCATAATCTCGTTGCTGCTTTGAAGCGTTTATGAATGAAATACGAAGTATCAGCTATTAAATAATGGAATCAGTCGTCATACAAATAGACTTCGACCATATTGAAATGAATTTGCCCATTTTCACATGTTGACTAGATGCTCGAGAGTGTTCGAATTGCTTTACTTGTTAAATGATTACTGTTACAAAGTACGATTGCCTTTGTGCTGCCTTTTAGAGTGACGCGGGCCTTCTTGTCATCCAGATCTTGCGTTGATAGTGTTACCACGATGTGTTGCCTGTTCGAGTGTGTCACGCGACTGATCTTCGCCATTCTGTGGCTGGCTTGCCTTATTTTCGTCGCCTACCCTCTTGCGTTTCTGTGCGTCGAAGTGTACATACTGATGCAGCCGTTGAAAGCATTTTGTGGTATATGCTGCGAAGGTTGTGTCGATTTTTTGGAAAAGATCGTTCTTCTGCCTAGAACATGCACGAAGAACATGATGGCTGGAAAGAATTGCTTTTTCGATTAAACAACATGACTCAAAATAGGCTGGGTAGAACGTAAGCTCGGAAAAAATGTGTGACCATTTATTTGTGTATATGTGTTTGCCACTAAATTCTTATTATTAAAAACCTATATTTATTACTACTACTACGAGGAAGAACACGAATAAATATACTTAACTATATTCAAAGTTAAGCTGCTATTCGTCTTTTAGTTATATTAGTAGTTTTAGACGGAATACATACAATTAAGTTAATTTTTTATAGGCAGAGATAGGCAAATAAAACTCGATAAATCAAGAATGTATTTCTCTGCTAGCTAACGGAATTAGCTTAACAGGCTCAACCAATGCGCATAGAAGGCTTCGCTGTTTTCGTGTGGAGAGGCTCGTTGACCTACTCACGCGTCCACTCCAAACACTTAATGTGATCTATACCACACACAATTGCTTATACTAAAAGCACATTTGTCAGTGGCGGACTTTTAGGCATGTTGTAATAAAACGAGTCCTTATAATTCAGCTATTATTATTATGATTAGACAGTTACATTCTCGCTGTTGTGCTATAATTATTCATTTTCTGCATGAGTGTTAGATTGCATGTACGTATTAATTGAGTTCATTTATAATATAATAAGGCTTTTTGATTATTTCGAAACACTTATTATACGTGCACATGGCTTGCTTGGCTAGATAAGCATCACCACCTGGGTAAATCACATGGGTAATGCATAGCCGCTTATTGACTAGAACAATATATCGCAAATGCGACGGCTGTTCAATATGACCCTGATCACCGAGTGTCTTGGAGGGCTGCTAAGCGCGTATTTCTTATATTTCCAACACACGTGAAACTGCTTTTGATCCTTTAGCTATTATTACGTACTGTTTTCGATAACTAGTTGGTTCTGCCCGAAACGGTGTGTGTCTACCCACGGACTCGAACGTCCCCCACCACCTAAATTCAGCAATCACTTGGAGTGAATAATAGCCTTATTGCGATTGGCACTGGGCAAATGGGCTCCTATCATTTGTAGCCTCTGGTTGAAGTCCCAACAACGACACAACCTGCGTGAGTAAAGCAAATCATATAATCATTTATAACGATTCGCGTCTTTGGAAACTTTCACCTTTCCGATTTGTATTAAAACTGTTGTATGAAAATAGAAATGTAGGTATTAAATGTATGAACTATTTTAACATGCCAGTAGTTTCAGCCAAATCAAAGTTCCCAAATATTAAGAATACTAGAGTAATGTACAACGGGATAGAAAAAGGAATTTCGATAGATTTAAGCTTTTAGTTTAACTATTTAGCTGGTTCTATGTATTTTTAATAGTAGGGATTAGACTAAAAGTAAAACATTTGAGAGATACATGATAATACACGACGATACACTTGTACGATGTTTCACCTGGCAGCATTCTACTTAGGAGCTACATGACATCATCTTAATACTCCTGTAAAAATTCCTTTCAACCTCGAATGGCCAGTGCCTCTTGTACAAGCGCAAGCCATTTGAGGAGGAGCTGATCAAATATATAGTCATTATCATATAATTTTTACGCTTCCCTAAGTCACTGACCTTTATTAGCATCAGCAATGAGCCGTAGGTTATGGCCCTAATAAGATCATTGATTCCCCTGCCGTTCTAAGGTGAATCAGCCATTGCGTTAAATCAGGTTCAATGACATATATAGTTCAGTTTCCATAGAAAATCAATGATCTCAGGCAAACCTCCTAACAGGTATTCATACAGCAAGTATGTACGGTGAGGCTTGCTATATACGAGAGTCAGAGATGCGATCATGGTAACTTATGGTGATTACTGGAAGGAACAACCATTCATGTATATACGAAAAGACTTTTCGTATATACATGAATGCATCATTTCGTCATGTTCTTTATAAACGTTTCACAAGATTTTTTTCGCAAAGTTATGATACATAAGGACACAATCACGATCACCTCAACCATGGTGTCCCTTAAAAATATGCAGAAGCAAATACAGACGCTGGGTTTCTTTGGCTTAGGTTTGCCCGATGGAGACGGTGTCGAAGAAAATTCTGGTTGGCAGGAAGCTTTGGGCGACAACAGGCGATAGGCAAGCAAGGTGGGTGTTAGTGAAGATAACCATGTGGGGGTAAGCCGATCGTTAGAATCACCGCAGCAGCAACAGCAACTATTGAAGACCAATAAACTCTATAGAAGGGTGCGCAAGGGCGGAAGGCGCGAGTAACTATGGTTTCACGCTTCGGACAGGGCTGGCTATTTATCTGCCACCAAACAAACCTACGGCCTCCGTCGACCGCCGCTGCCTGGCCACAACTATATGTGTCTGCTACGCAAGTTTGCTTGGAGATGGACGCGAGAACGAAGGGTAAGAAAAGGTATATGAGTGGTTTCGTTTGCTACTGCTTCTGCTGTTGGGGTCGATGCCACAGTCGTTGTGGATGTGCCAAGAGTACCGACACTTCTATGCTGTACAACGAAGCTTTTGCGGGACACATGGAATCTGCTGGCCCGCAACAAACCTTGGAGGGGCACATGTAAATCTTTGTGTTGTCTCGTCTCCCTCTCCCTCCCCTCTCTCTATTATTAAGGGACTCGACTGCACCGACTCTCGAAGTCGCTTGCCTCGTTTGTCGGTGGCAGCGGTTGCTATCGATGTTGACTGAGGGTTACTCAAGTCGTGCTCCGAAGGCTGTCCATAAAAACAAGACCCCACCATTACCGGCAGCACCAGCAGTGGTCGGCACCCTGGCCTTACCGCTATTTACTTTGCGTCCCTAGGTATTCTGCTGTGTGAAGCCCTAGCTGTGTGCTAGCAGGAGCTATCTGTCATTTCAACAGTACTGCCCCGCTGGTCGCGGTCTGGTAGGGAGGTAGCAGAATCTATCCCACTGCGTGTACGAGACATGAGTCCTGCGCAGTAGAGCTAGGCCGCTAGACTTTTGCCTTCTATTAGATCTCTGAACTGTGTACTTTTGCTACAATCAGCAAGGGGGTTGCCTGGGAAAAAACTAACCAAATCAACCACGGTTTGTTGCGAAATGCTGGATACTTTGAGCAGAAATAGTGTCGCGGACTGTGCTCTCTCGGAGTCCTTACCTTGAGCCCCAAGTAGAATTGGTCTTTTGCCATTGCTTCACTACTCTAATAGTCCAGCAGGCTGACGTTCAAGGACAAAGAATAACTAAGTACCTATTTGTCGAGTGCGTTTTCCGAGAATACAAAGGCGTCATAGGTCGCTGTTGTTCTCCCGTGCGACTTCTGGGTTGTGGGTGGATCGCGCTTGTGTTTCTCTACGCCACATTATCCGGTAAGGCAAAAACATCAGATAATACGTGTAAGGGTGAGCCGATAGCCGCCTAACGAAGCCTCAGTGGTGAATTGGTGGAGCACGCAAATCACAGGCCGTGGTGAGTTAAGCGGACGTACGGTCGAACGTACAGGTACAAGAAATGGCAGCCGATATTGTTGAAAACGAAGAAGTCGTCAAAGGGGTGAGGCAATACGAGGAACAATAGAATACGTTTAGCATTATTGTCCTGTCGATTATTGGCGTGCTCTTCCTTCGATTATCATAAGCAGGGCAACAAATATCAGTTGACGTATATAAACCAATCTGGATGAGGAGTTAAATAGTGGCATAGTAATCAAAAGTGGAAACTCACGTGCAGTGTTCATGAACTTTGTTTAATTACTTCACTTATAAAAAAAACACACTCACATTCTGCAAGTGTTGAATAGAAGAGATTCATGCTGCTTTCTATGATTCCACCCGATTCATGTGGGCTACCTGTGCTCTATTTGCTAGACATGTAACAGCACATAACAAACTACTCGTACAGAAAACGAAGGCGCAGCAAATATTATACCCTTAGTATTGCTATGGGAATTTACTGATTTTTCAAAAAAAATACTCGTTCCAATAGTCCTGAAATTTTTTCGCCTTACTAAACACAGATCTACCTGACAAGTTAATCCACTAATAAATTTAACGACTAGTGGATAACAGAATTTAAATCCAGTATACTTTGTTACTTTATATTATGCGAAGTATACTATAACAGATGCAGAAGAGATTATGCATTTTATCAACTTCACTTCGAGCTTCCTGCTGTTTCTGATATAATAATATGCGGATTTACTCATTCGTCGGCTTTTATTAAACGTATAGAAATGTACTGCATTGTTTTCACGCGCGAACCTAAGTACAAATTCGTTTAGCATCCCAATCGCTGTAAGTAACTGACTCTGTGCGTCGCGACTTGTGCCCTAGCTCCACTAAATCGTTACCACTGTTTGATATTTCTTCCATGATTCATATTATTGTAGAAAAGTTTTCGGATAACCGCTCAAAAATATACTACGATTTAACGTGTCTGCCTACTAATATTCATGATATGTAAAGTAGTAAAGATTCAAAGCCGGTTCTACACACTTTTCGTTTGAGTTTCGTGCTAGAAGTTAACACTACTTAATCTAGGCAGTCGCACCAGATGCCAAATTGAAAACATATAGAATAATGTTTGAACTTGAACTTTCTCTGTTTTTTTTAATAGGCGCAACAAGAACCGCAGCTCCCGGAAGATAAACCTGAGCCGCCTCGCGAACTTCTGGCAGACGCTCTTCGAAAGGATGCATCCCACCCAGTTTTCAGCAAAGGATTTAGTCCTACTCTGTGTTTAGAGCTTGGAGGAGCCGCGGACGGAGACAGTCTATTAGAGCAAGCAGGTTTGCATCATATAACTTATAGTAGATATACGCCTTTCAGGTTAATGCGACCCGCAGAAATCTGTACAACTTGACAAGTGTTTTACATATGCGATCAATTCTTTCGGTACTTACTTATGCTGTCGTTAAGAAGGTCTCTTAAAACGTTCAAACAAAAATAATCATTATATATTTTATTTATGGGCATCAATATAGCGTTGACAACACGACCTGTATGCTTCCTTAGCCGATCACACGCCTTCAGAATGAACGACCACTCGTCTCTGGCAGTTCTTTCTGACAGAATCAACTGTTTCCTACCGCGACTCTTAAACAAGGTTGATGTATTGCTACTGAGTCCAGATAGTAACGACCAGAACGCCATTATATTACCATTCATCTCAAGGCTTCTTGCCCCGAAAGGACGGTACGTACCGACAAAAAAGACAATCACTTTTCTGTTTATGTACAGTATGTATGTCTGCGTAAGCTCTCAGTGTCGTATAGTTTGTTGATCCGATGATCTCTGCTCTATTTGTTTTTACCTCTGATATCTTTCTTTTACGATATTAGCCATTCTGTCTTTCTCAGATACTACGTTCTTCTCTCAGCGGAAGATAAGCCGGTCGAGCTTTGCCGGCAGATGGGGAAAAAGGGTCTCGTATCGCGGGAGGTGATCTCCAAGCAATGTGGTCACGGAGAGACGTTTTCGGTTTTCTGTTTCACACATAAGAACAAGTGATCGATCACAAACGACAACCAGAAGTCCAGTGACCAATGTTACCTATACGGTATCGCAACGCGTTATTATCAGCACGAGGAAAACTTTTTTTCAGCAGAGCATCGTAATGCACCTTACCGAACGACTCCACTCATTTGACCGAGTCGAATGAGTAATAGTTTGTAAAAGTGGGACAGTTATTACATATCATTGCCCTGCTTCTAATGATAACTGTAAGGTCAGCGATGGTGGCGGTCACATTAACACACTACGATCAAACGTTGCTTGTGTCATTCCCATAGGGGCTGCGTCATACATAGAATGGATCTGTGTGCGGGGGTCTTACGTATACTAGACTGCTTGTATTTTTGTCGGCCATCAGGATTTCAGAAAAGCAGAAAAGTGTGCAGTTGAAGTTTTCTTCGAGGGGCATATAGGTTATCATTGGTTACCATTCAGAAGCAATCACGCGTTGTAGATGGGCTTACCTGCTCATGTTAATCAATCAAGCAGAGCCTATTTGACGACCAAGCCAGATTGCTGTAACGAAATGAAGAGTTCTACAGGTAATTTTTCAATTCTAATTCAGTCTCAGTTAGTTGTTAACTATTATTATTCGCATCAATCCACATTCTGTCACTCCTTTCGGAACTTAGCCCCTAACTGATGGTTGGTCGAAAAGTCTTATATCTATAATCCTGAACAAAAGTCATATAAATAGCAGTTGTTACAGACATATGTTTAATATGTTGCAATTCAAATCTACACAGCCGTACCTAATCTAGGTTCGTACTTCCCAATGCTTCCTTCGCTTTACCGATCTTTTAGCTTCATTTAGATTCTATCTTAGCGTCTACTGCCTTTTTTGCCCTGTTGTTCATTGCGTCTGTCACAGGTGAAGCTCGTCGAACTAGCGAATGGCTATAGAAAGTCCGTATGTTACGAAAATATTGCTGTGCATAATGTAATGCATATGCAAACTACGGCAGCCGATGACGCATACAGGTCTACGTCAACGTTCGAGCGGCACGCACGTCACGTGATAGATCAGCGCGGCTGGTACATTAATAGTAACTGTGTTTAATATCACCACAGTTGAAGAGTTTACAGCATGCTAACTTTTGATCTATCGCCGCGGAGCAGCGATGACGAAATTAGCGACTGAAGTTGAGCTGAAAACCCAAAAAGTACATCGCTGAAAACAGTTTCCTTTCTACGAAGACTTCCTTTACCAAAAGAGGGTAAAACAACACTGTAATTAGGTTTGTGGCGCAGTCGATGGAAAGCAACGAAGAGCAAAGAAAAACGACTGAGCGAACCGGAATTTCGTAGCAGCACGGTTCAGATCGAAAAGACAAACTAGCTCGAATCGACGACTAATATTATATAATAGCCACTTTTTGTGTGTGTATGTCTACGCGTTTTTGGGTGTGCATGTATGTATAGATCAATCTGTATGTAATTTGGAGAAAAACTAGCAAATCAACATCTGCACTTTGCTCGGTGTTGCGTCAGATAACAAAACAATTACAAACATCTTGAAATAACGAGCGGCAAGAAAAAACTTAAAAAGAAAAATCTAATGAACCCGGTAATGAGTTGGGTCAGCTTGTTGGGTAGATGAAAACTGAAACTAATTACGACTTATATTTGCTAGACTAGATCTACTGCAATATCTAACACATAAAACGTGAATATGAGGTGAGGCATTGAATAGCGGTAAATTACTATTGTATCTCTACTGTAGTTGACTATAAAGAGTTTCGCAAGCGAAAAAGCGACGCGTTAAAAGATACCGTTTACCTGAGTAACCAATGCCTGACTAGGACGAGAAACGAAAATGCTTGTTGGTGACAGACACTTCCGAGTGATGTCTGCAACGAAGTGGCGAAAAAAAATAGAAATATATCAATTAGAAACCTCGGAAAAAATAACCAATCGAATAGTGAACACAGATGAACTTAACCAAATAGAAGAAAAATTGCTCTTGATGATGGAAATAGCAACAACAGGAACACGAAATAAGCATCTCGAAAGAAACTGCTGTTCCACTTAATATCTTAACAGGCCGTTGCGTTTCAGCAGTGCTCCTTGATAGGTGGATTCATAGACTATGGTTGTTGGCATTTCGTTTAATAAAAATAGACTCACCAATAAAAGATGCAAATCAAATGAAGGAAGGGCTCATACTAGCTAAACAAACAGACAAAAAGGGTAAGTGTTCTTATGAAATATAATATAATGTAAGAATCACATATAAGATCGTGATGGCAGCAAATATAATATCCTCGACTCAACGAATCACTCTCACACTTTTTCATTGACAGAACTTATGCCTACATGCATAACTATTGTGATAATTTATTGGTGTTGGTAATTCAACCACTGTCAATAATTTCAATATAAAACACAATGGTGCATGTCATTAATAACGAAATGAATCGGTTATTTCAATTATGAAGATCATGTAAAAACACGTTTTTGCCATTAGCCGCCAAAGCGACTCTTTAAACAGAATTTGTTACTGTCGTCGCCACGTCGTATGAGTGAAATATGTCACGTAAGGCGCATCTTTTCTACCAACATTAGCGGAACACAAACAACAAGGTACCGTGACATTTCCTCCAACCTTGTCTTCTATTCCCTCATAGAGAGCTATGTACAAATAATTTCTTCAGCCACCCTTTTCCTGCAACCCTAAAAATTATATTAATGAAGTAATAGCAACAACCGCACTAATAAAGACAATAATAGCAATAATCACAAGAATCATAACTGACAAAATAAATAATGAATCTGTTTTGCTTGTATTAAATGTGATTACTTTTGAGAATTTTGTGGATGAAAACTTGTCAGCTATCTACATCTAGCTAGAAAAGCTAATGAAACTAATAGTCCAGGTAAGTTTTTCTTGCATCGCGTTAGCACGCCTGTTAGAGTAAATGGAACAATTATCTCTCTAATAAAAGATCAAGTATTCAGTTAAAGCAAAAGTCACTGAGGCACACTCAAAACAAAAATAATTAGTTAACAAAAATGATAATAGTTACACATTTATTTACTATGTGGATGATTTTTTTTTTAGTTTAAATTCCTCTTTTTTTTTAATTCGCTTCAGTTGAATGTATGCCTTCCTCGATGTGTATTGCTGCCGTTCCAGTGCTTCGCGATATCTGCAACAAAGGACAGATATTATTAGAACAAAAGCCTGTTATTTATTAGTTAATGCAGATTTGATTATAGATGGAATACCAGCATAAACAATATAGAAACATTAGATTGTCTAACAGTCTAACTGGCTGTCGTTTTTAGTACTCTTATTCTAAATGAAATTCGCAATGTGTATTTGCATCGTCGTGTACGTTATCTTTTTGTGGCATTGTAAATGCATCTCGTATCGTAACTACTACGTTCCGCTATCAATAAAATTTTAGTCTTTTCTGTACGGCCAAATAGTTCTACTGTTTTTGCAAGACGGTACAAATCAAAGCAGCTTTGTATCATGTTTACTTTTTTTGGTTGATCTTCTTAAACTGTGTATCGGCAAGAAGTTCATCAACAAGCGTTTGTTTGCGCTGTTTCTTCGATATACGGCCCGAGTAGAAGTCGGTAGCATTATCAACCACAGTGCCCACTGCGAAATATTTCGGCAACTGCTGGATATCGTTTTTCTTGTAGAACGTCTTTGTGTCTAGAACCTTGCGCATTTTCAGTATCTCAAGATCTCGCCTGTGTTCGTCAGTCAACTCTGGTTTAGCCATGCTGAACCAATTTTGGCCTGCGTCCTTCTCGCGTTCGGCCTGTCGATGTCTTTGCTCGGCTTTTTTACCGCGTTTCGTAGGGATTAACTTTTCCTTTTCTGAGTCATCTTTAAGGATACTCTTCTTTAGCACTACATCCTCGGCCCATTTGTGATTCATGTCTCGCATCTTTGCTTTAGTCGAAGCGATCTCCGAAGAAATGTATAGTGAAGGTCGCAGGTCAGAGAGGTGGGTCTGAAGAAATTCCTTGCCTTTAGCCACTGGATAAGCCAAATACGGTCTTTACGTTAGAAAATGCTAATATTGGTCAAGCGGTAGAAGTGGTGAACTATTGACATTATATGATGCTTCCCAGTGCTTTGAAGACAAGCGCACCTGGACGATCATAATGTAGTTCATCTATTTTGCCGCTGAATGCAACAAAAGATACTTTGAGTAGAATCAGAAAGGGGATCAAATAGCAGATATTGTCTAAAAACAAACAAGCCTCGACACCTACTCAATGGATAATCGTAATCTAACTACTGTTAAGACAGCTGCAGGTAAGTAATCAGCCCTGAATATTTTAACAGATTCGTATATAATGATTGACCGAAATGTGTGCTTTTCATTTGCATTTCAGAGCCCTTACCTTTAATTTGCATCTTATTGTCATTCTGAATCCCTTTACTATCGATAATGAAAAGTGAGTCGAGATTTGCGACATTATTCTTGCCACTACTTGCGAAAAATGTCGCTGCGTCACTGATATCGAGGTTATCCTCTATCTCTGAATCGAATTCCTCATCTTTAATAGAGAACAAGTTGAAATACACGTGATGTTAATTTCCTTTTGTAATAGGACTAAGAACTGCTAAGAAAGATAATTTGTCCACATTTCTTATTTCCATCTGCAGCCTAATCATAACTTCGTAGAAATAAATTAAATCGATAAATGTGCCGAAAATTTAATTTTCATCGCTCGCCCCTCTTGCCTAAAAGGGCTAGATAATCAAGTGGACCAACAGAGCACTCATCCGAGAAGTCCAGATGTAATGAGAGTTTGGCTTCGTTTAACAAGTAGTTCTGCTCGGACGGTTTGTATTCACAGAAAATTGCAGAATGATTTACCATTTTTTTTTTCGTTAGGAAGCAAAAAGCGGTTTATGTTTTTAGATCTATTTATTTCTTTCAGTGATTCACCAACTGTTATATGAAATATGTTTGTTTGTACACACGAATAATTAGCACAACGAGCAACACTGAGTTCGTATTTGAAATTGGAAAAAACAGTCTCTAAAAGTATTGGATTTAAATATTAACGACCCTGTTCATGTCTTATGTATATGATTTCTAAATAGGTTCTATTATTTTATCACTAAGTTCTTTTTTAATAAATTACAAACTAGCATTAGAGTGGTACGTACCAGGAATATTTGCCGGCTCTAATTTCGCAGTATCGAACTGAACGTTTACAAACTTTGGTTTCAGAAATTCTGCAAGCGCATCCATTTTTTAACATGTGCTTCTATTACTCTATAGGATACACACTTGAAGTATTCCGAATAAGGCCAGCAAAAAGCATCGCAAAGATCACATATTATGAAAATCACCGCAGCACGTGCGAATCTGTTTTGATACAGCAGAGCAGTGCAAATGTTCCGTCAATTAAAGAGACTGCAACTAAAATAGTATTCCTTTAATGTGCACATATATCTTTGTGTACAAATAGAGACACAAGATGATATATTATCAACCCAAGTATGCAGGATAGCAAAAAATAGTGGATAAGAATTCAATACAACTAGATACGAAGCTTCTTACTTAACAGTCGGAATTTCGGGCCCATATATTTCGGAAATATCCGAGCGGCTAGAGCAAAAATTGGGATCTCAAAAAAATAAGGTCGAAACTCCTATGTATAAATATGTTTCAGTTAATTAATTCTTTTAAACGTGTGTAAATATAAAACTCGTTGTTATGTTTCCCGCGTATTCATCTAACCAAAGTGAGTTTAAACAAAAATCGCTTATTGTTTTCTTGCAATAGATCGTTATATTTCCCTAGCATCTCTTCATCGTTAATTGTGTACAGCTGGGTGCACCCATCGCTCTTATTAAGAATTCGTTACTATTGTATATTCGTTGTGTTTCGAGGTTTCGTTATGCTCAACCTGTTATCGAAGTAGGTCTAGTTAAGACTTTGCGAACTGCTTAGTAAAAATTTACGAAGAAATCCACACTACAATCTATTTTCATCATGTATTATTCAACTAGGGATTACGACAGGCCAATGCTTCAAGTTCCACGGTTCAAATGACGCTAGCATTACGGTGCAAAATCAACATTGACCAAACCGGGGGTCCAACAGGGACCAAAACGCGGTTCATATCGCTTTAAGGCTTTCGCACTTTGAGTAAACAGAATCTAAATGTTTGGTGTTTATTGTCTAGTTTTGCTGTACATTGTTTCAGACGAAGTTGGCCAAGACAAGGCATACTAATAAATTTAACACTGTGGCGGTATACCTATTTAAATTTAACTAATGGGCACAGCATGTCAGATCTGATAACTTGTACACCGGTTAAACAGTCATTTGACAGTGTTGTCTAGGCAATTTAGGAACTTAGTTTGTTCCAACATTATCACTGATTTCCTATAAGACCTGTCTTCCGAACTCGTCCTTAGCGCAGGAGAATAATTTAACCTTGCAAATTGGTATAAGAAGTGACTCTGGACCAAATTTGTGAAGAATAAAGCCTGCAGTTCGTTGCTATCCCCGGAGCGTAATCTTTGGTTCAAATTCAGATTTCAGGCTCTAAAAAGCTGAAACCAGTTTCCATAAAAGCTGTTAAATACTATTTGCCCTATTGCAGTTCGCCTACTAAACTCATGCGACGCTTTAATTGCACTCAGAATCAGCAGTGAACTGCTGATAATCGTATATGCAGCTTCTTTCTACTATAATTTGCTACTAATGAACCCAAACAAAATTCGCGTAATAGATCAGACGAAAAATAGTTCAGAGAAAAAGGGGTTAAAATAAGCAGATAATAAAGTGCGCGAAGTGTGAAGATTGCTGAAATAATTATCCGACAGACCCTAAACTGCAATTTGCTTAATTTGCTATTTCAGTTACATCTTAAGCTAAGAATTGCTTTTCTACGACGCAGATTTTCTCACGGAAGACTCACTGAGCATATGTCGGATCTGTTGACATATTTAGGGACGCTAAGGTCGGTCGGAGGCAAACGTTACTAATGGATGACGTTATTCATTATCGTTGTTATACATATCCTATGTTCCATTTGTGATTAGATACTTTATATTGATCATTTTTTTTACAGGTACTAAACTAACCGAGGATCTGTCGTGGCTTCGATGCGCAAGCTATTTAGGCCCAGGACAAGGTGCTAAGGACAAGGTCGAGTCGGATTCCAGGTAACTGTGCCCGAAAATCTTCATACCAAATATACTAATCAGTTCTTGCTGACTTTCGTCCCCTACCAACTTCGTACGACTTACCCAATCCATTGCGTTGCAGTAATACGGACGATGGGCTGATCGAAGCTATTGGAAGGCATAAGGCACAAGATCAAGCACAGGATAGTGGCACTAAATGTGTCACTGGCAGTAGCACAAATGAGTCACAGACTTCATCCGACGATGAGCGCGAATATCGCCACAAAAAACGAAGTCGAAAAAAGAACAAAAAGCACAAAAAGAAGAACAAGAAAAAAGATAGCAAAAGGGATTGCAGGCGCGAGCATTCATCTAGCTGTGAACACAAGAAAAAGACGTCTAAGAGAAAAAGGTCTTGCTCGCCTTTCTGCTCTCAGAGTTCTGCCACCTTCACCTCAGACCTCCGCAGAAAATGGGCTTTTCTCGAGAACATGGGACCTACAACCACCCCGTTCGTTCTTGACATGAAAGGCGATCAAAGCAATAGAGCTTTTACTCAGCTTCCGCATACTTCCGCTGCAACGTACAGTATTAAAAAAAGCAGACTTCCTCCAAGGCGAAGTAAGGTGAAGAGGTATTTTAAGACGGTGATGGCTCCGCCAATGCTTACGGTTGAAGTGAATGAGAAATTACGAGCTCTAAAGCCCTCGAGCTATATTTCACTAGGAGATAGTCTGTTGGCAGATAAAGATGTCGTTGGCGATGGTGGACCGTGTTGGCCCAGTGTGGTTCGCGAGCACAGTGAACTGGCAGCAGGATGCCGGACCGACCCCCACAATGTGGACTTATGGTTGAAATTATGCGATTTCGAAAAAGTGTATGTACCATGCAGTCTTGGGCAAGCCCAAGTTACCGGTGCCGCACTCAAAAAAATCGTTATGGAAAAACAGCTCAGTGTAGTAAGTATGTGTAAGGAAAAATGTTGTGACTTTTAATTATTATTTGTTCGTGCATAACTCGAAATAGACTCATTCCTAGTCGTCTAAGTTTTAATGATCTGCAGACAGGACCATATACCCGAAAAGCAACTATCTTATTATTGTACATAGTGACTCGGTTTTATCTATTTACTTGTTTCAGATGGTGGATGCGATTATGAGGAATCCGTTGGACTTGAATCTTCGGCTTAAAAAATTTGACTTGTTGTGCTCTCTCGAACGGCAGGACGAGCTAGCCCGCGAATGGGATGATGTTCTTCGGATGAGCGATTACTCGATCAGCAAGCAAAAGACTAAAAATCAGATTTGGCTCAAATACGCACAATATGCGCGTAGCAAATGTAAGTCGTATTTGACCAGCTCGGGATTTGGTAATAATTAAATTACCGCTACAGAAAGTGCGGTGCTTCATCGAAGTTGCAAATTAAATGCCTTTTTTAATGAAATCAAATCGTGATGGGTATCCACTTACTTCTATCTATGTGCAGTGAAATTCTGTTAAAAGTAGGATATCTTTATAATAACCGATTTTAAGGAAATGCTTTCTATGCAACAAATAAATATCTTTTTTTTTTATGTTATGGACTAATACAATGCGTGGTCTCCATTTCAGTTCATGTTGTCGCGAAATTTTCCGTGGAAGAAGCGACAGCTGGGTACTGTCGAGCAATTGACGCATTTCGACGAACGCGCGTCGACGATTTGTTTCTAGTTACGCTTATCGAAGACTTCGCTTGTTTTCTGGTTCAATGCGGCCACACCGAAAGAGCAGTTGCTATATTCCAGGTAGGAACAGAGCTTTGTCCCGCGGCGGTATACCTGCTAAATCTAACGGTATATGAACTCTGAGTTCAAATATCGCATGGCTAGGAGTTAATTGTATGACGACAGCTTTAGACGTGAAACTCGAAATACTTATTTTCTAAGAAACAAAGGGTTATAGAAATATCTTTGTTTTGAAGATACAGATTTAAAGGCCATAAAATTATGCAGTTAAAGATCTTTTGGTTTTTAGATTACAAAGATATGGTTTAAACTTAATTGACGGCTCCGTGGTCTTAAATATCCGTTACCCGCAGAATGATGCAATAAATATCATTTATGTTCGAACACTCATTTTTCAGCCGCAATGCGTGCTGCCATCCATAATTGTATATATTCCTTGCTTGTTTCATGCGCATAAAAACTCTTTTGAAACGCACATAGGGTTCTTGTTAACCTAGGAAGCAATTAAATATAATGGAACTTTTTTAATAGGATTTTTAACATAACCTCGTCGTAATTCTCTTATCTGTTTAAGGCTTTACTCGACTTTAACCTCAGTCAGCCGGAGCATCTGGTGTTGGAGCAGAATGAAGAAGTGGCAAAAGCGTTATTTGAGGTTTTCTGGGATAGTGGATGCGCCAAGATTGGCGAGAAAGATCACAAAGGATGGGGCAAGGAAAGTGAGCGATCAACTAAAGCCCCGCCTCCAGAGAGTACCGATTCCCGGGAAGATGAGCTAATTATGGCCGATCGGCCCATAAATGTCGTGTGGGCAACACTGGAAACGTTACGGCAAAGAAAACATTGGATGCCAGCCAAGGTAAGGGATTCGTATAATACGAGTGCCTATTTTAATTATGTAATATGCGTCTAATTTCAATGAAATCGATTTGCCCTTTTGGGACAGTTTTATTTTAATAATGATTTCTGTAAAAACATAAAAAAACGAGATATATTTTCGAGGAAATCGTAAAGGATTGGTGGATAAGTTTTTAAAGAGAACCCCTAAACCCAAATATGCTGATGATTACACGATGACTATTCGATTCAAATCTTTTCTATAAAAACATAAAAAGTATAGAAAGTGGTGGATTTCAGGTGGATGCTGAAGACGTCGAGCGGATTATCTTGTTTGATGACGTATCGCTCTGTGTATTTCGTTCACGTGACCCGAGATGTCTGCAAAAAATGCTAGAATCCTTTATGAGGTTTCTTGCCAATGGCGACAGCTCGTATATGGCATGGAATTCAGCTAACGACAAGATGGCTGAACTATTGAAGATTCCGTTCGCTCGAGACGAAGCTGAAGGCCGCATAGAAATGTTATGGAACTGCTACAACGCTGGAACCATATTTTTGCCGCAATTTGATTGGGCAAGTGTGTTATTAGACCAGCTGCTGCGGCTTTGCCCGAGTGAGAAAAACGAGGCTGTTAACTTCGGGAAAAAGGTGATGCAAATAAAAGCGAACCAGATGAATTTTACGTTGTGGGCGAAAATGCTATTGATTCTAGATGCCACAAAGGCCCGCGAGGATGCCATGAGCCGGGGAGTGAAGCTCATATCGATGGCGTGCGCTGGTCTCGGATGCTTCTCCGGTGATCACATCTACTTTTTGGCTAGCTATCTCCGAATACATCTAAACGTTAATGACTTTCTAAAAGTCGACCTCGATGAACACTGCCAACCAATGCCAGATGTCAAAAGTCTTCTTAGTTGTTGGGGTGCTCTCATTCTTGGAAAGAAAGCTGTCTTGTCTGACGTTAGTGACGAGCATATTACATGTCTAAAAAATTATCTCGTGCATCGATGCGACGAATACTCCATTGAAGTCGGCGTTATCCTGAAGTTGTCATTGGAAACTCCAGTTGCAGCATATGCTTATCTCTGCCGAAAAGCCTCGGTGCTTTCGGTAGACGCGTACCACCAGTTAGATATCCGTCTTCATCTACTTGTCTATCGGCATTTCGCGTCGTCGCTTTCCGATCTCCGGTCGACAGTTGAACTTGCCTGCGAAAAGCTGCCAACTAAACAAGAGTATATGGTTCTTCTCGCCTTGGTGTCCTATCGAAGTCCGCATTCATGGAAGCGCTGTCCAATTCCTCAGAGCGATCCGGAATATTCGTGGTTCGCAACCGTCCTATATTACCTGCTGAGAGCCGTCGAGTTTGATAAATGGAAAGAACGTGCGGAAATCGCGTACAGTGGCACCCGTATCGGCGGGCTGCACAGGGCCATCGCTCAGCTTGGTGAAATCAGGCAACCACTTTTTTGGCGGCTTATCGTATGGGTAGAAATGCAGGTGGGTGAAGTAGACCGCGCAAAAGAACTGCTTTTGAGGGGTCTTCAATGCTGTCCTTGGTCGAAAGCCATGTTTGTAGATTGTGGCCTTTACTTCGACGAAATGCTTCAACAAGTCGTCGATACATTAACTGAGAAAGGTTTAAGACTACGCACTCCTCTTGAAGAACTAACGCTTCTTTTAGAGACCAAGAATGATAAGTAGTGATTATTCTAGACGTAACAACGAATTCAGGAGAAATTCAATTTTGAAAGCCGTATATATCCATAAAACATGTGCTAGCGCATATATCCCTAAAACAAGATGTGATAGTATGATAATAAAACGGTCATCTTGTGTAATATGTAATCCGTCAAATATTGTTATTTTTATTCAAGCATAATACGGAAGTTTGTCCGAACGTCATCTCTTACGGACTAATTATTAACGCCGGTTATAATACAAACCTATAACAACACACGCCGCCGAATGAACGCGAGTTATGTGCGGCTAAATCGGTGAAGGCGGATCAAGTACTGCCGATGACAACGTATGGGCGGGTTGTCAGTGGAACATCGGCTGCACTTGCTGTTGCTGCTGCTGCATTCTGTTAGCGCTGTCCGCCAAAATCTCTTGCACCTGTTTTGCAAACGCCACTTGCGCGCCTATGGTAGCAATGTACTGGCCATATGACAGCGCATTCTCAGGATGTGAAGAAGAGTCCGTTTTGGCCCCCTGCACCTGAAAGCGCAACGAAATATTCACGGTTAAACGTTAATTACCACAAACTAATTTGATGAGATAGTAAATGCGATCCCAATTAATGTCCTTATAGGTTCAACAAATTAATGGCTCATATCATATATAGTTAACTTGCTAGCAAATAAAAATGCAATATGAAAATGATGGGAATAAACCATGTGGTACTGCATTGTGTGCTTCTTTGCGTAGGGTTGAAATCTTTCAGCACGGGTACTAATTTTGTCAGTTAGGTATAGCGTTTACAAAACAGCTTGTAGTATTGAATATCATTTGTCGGGCGTGTTTAGTTTTAGCAGAAGTAAGCCATTAGTAACAATACAATACGTATATTTTTTCCTGACCATTGTACCGTTTTGCGTATACAGGCTAATCTGAAACACATGCGAGTGTGTAGAAGTAATATCTTACGGGGATAGGTAGGTACTGCTGTGAGTCACGGAACTGCAGTACGCATTCTTGTATGGTTTTAAGGTTGAGTTCGATTTGGTTGCAGATGGAGTAGAATTCTTCAAGTGCTTTATCCAATCTTGGTGGGGGCCCTTCCGATGACGCCCGAACGCCATTGTCAACTGCTGCCGTGTGATAGATGTTCATTGCGGCCACACGTACAACTTCAGATAACGAGTCCTTCAACGAACCGACTAGCATGCGTACTTTGACGACGTTATCGTAGCGTTGCTGTTCCTGCTGATTGGATTGTGTTGACTGAGCAGCGCCAGCTGGTGGCCCAGGCGGGCCTGGAGGTTGAGGTCCCTGTTGAGAACCGGGGCCTCCCGGTCCCATCATAGAGCCTGGTGGATGCGGGCCGCCTGGGCCAGGCATTCCTCCTACGTTTCCCATACCTGGACCACCTATATTACTCGTTACTGATCCACCAGGACCCATTGGAGCCATGGAACCTCCCATTCCAGCTGCTGCTCCCTGTGGCATGCCTCCTGGAAACGTGCGGGCATCTAGTTAATATAAGAAAGAGGTACAGAAGAAATTGAGGTTTGGCTGAAAAGAGGATTTGGCTATTAAATATTGTTAACGTAATAGAAGGTGTTGTTTTGACGGACGCTTAAACTGGAACGCCTTACATATGTTAGCTCTGGAGTCTTTTGAGTTCTACTACGGGAACCGCAAGCTGGATGTGAGCCGCCTGGAGTAGGATTTAACTAGTGACTTAACCCGCTTATCAAGCCAGATTCTTTTGTTCAGCTAGAAAAGTCTAGGTTTATACGAAAAGATATCCAGTTAGAAGGACTTAGATTGGTTTGCAATAGATAATTTTCTCCTCATCACGATCTTTCATGCTCGCATATGATTCGGTGTTACAGTATTCACATAATGGCCCTAGCTGTTAATTATGCGAATCAGCACCACAAAAATGTTGCTTGATTTGCCTTACTTACCTTGCTGTGAGCCCATAGATGGACCCTGTTGTGGTTGCATTCCGCCCATGATTCCTCCTTGTGGTCCCATATTGCCTTGAGGGTTCATGTTTCCTTGAGGCCCCATATTTCCTTGTGGGCCCATGCCGCCCTGCGGTACCATACCACTCTGGGAAACCATACCTCCTTGAGGTCCCATGCCACCCTGCGGACCCAAACCGCTTTGAGGTCCCATGCCACCCTGAGGAACCATTCCTCCTTGGGGGATTATACCGCCTTGAGGTCCTATGCCACCCTGAGATACCATGCCACCCTGGGGTCCCATTCCACCCTGTGGACCTATACCGCCCTGCGCGACCATTCCACCCTGAGGTGCCATTCCTGGGCCAGCGCCCATACCGCCTCCAGGACCCATGTTCGACATTGGTCTGAAACGGGTTCCAAGCAGCGATAAATACTTCTATTACTATCTGTGTTGAACAGTATATTAAATTCAAAAATCACTACATGTTAGATATGGCACTTGTTACTGAGCTTGAGTAAATAGGCTCGCTATGGTTATACTGTACGGTTAAACTCGTCTTCGACTAGCTTTGTGAAGGTTGTCTTTTTGTTGCTTTTCTTTCTTTGAACCAAATGACACAACAGTATTACAGGTAGCAGGCTATAAAGGTTTTAGGGCCCAAATTAGTTATACGAGATTAAAAACTTTACAGAGTATAATCGTTCGCTAAAAACATACATTCACGTGACACCGAGCTAGCGATAAGCATCTGGAAAGCAACTGGGCCTTCTGGGCGGCGCGTGGGTTGCTGTGATTGCTCTATGTTACGGTGACGTACAATTCATTGAAGCCAATAGCCATAAAAACTTTTACATGTTCTGCGATGTATTAAACCGTTCATTTTACTATCTGTATTGGCGACAAATGTTAATTAGAAACGATCCCTCCAGACGCGCATTCATCACATCGCAATGTTTACGTTAAGAACAAGCTATTTGGTGGCTGTGTGTCAACCATAGCAAGATGTGCAACGTGATCCATAGGAAAACCGTTTTAAATGCCTGTGCGTACCTAGCAAGTGTGCCGTAAATACTGTTCGATGGCCTCCCTGATACATTTTGGGGTAGTATCCGTACCCGTTCTCGTGACGTCCAAATAATCCGTGGTTGAAACGGCATCGAGTTTATTTCTAACATATTGGGGTTTGGACGTATAGGATGCATCTTAACACTCGGCCATAGATGAACGTATAAGATTTTGGCTGTGCACGGGTAACAGTGGTGACTGAATAAATGAAATGAAAAATATTTTGACAGTTGCTTTTGAGATGTAGTGTACTAAGTCACTACGCTGAACACACGAGTAATAAACAAACTGGTGAAATCCAGAACGTCCTTTTAACTCGATAATTGAGCAAATTAAGTCCGCGTGAAAAAATAGAACGCTTGAAGGCAAAGCTAAAGCGACAACATTCATCAGTACTATACACATTTAGTACGGACTACTTCAACGTTCAAGTGGGACCATTGTAGAACTTAAATCATCTGCACGGTATTCTCACAACAGGTGATCAGTGCACGTACGGCTAATGCAAAGCTTACACAAGCAAGCATTGCCTCATAGCATTTGTCAGTTTTCCGCAAAACAAAAACTTCCATTGGTTTGCATTTGTGCTCACGGAAATAATGATACTTGAATCAGCAAGGCCACCTCAGTGTCGAGCTCTCTGGCAAAGAAAGGCGACAGTATGCCTATGCAACATAGCCTCTGAATATCTCGTTATTATGGTGATTTCCGAAGTTTGTAATCTGCAATGGCCCAAGTGGTTTCTGTCAATTGTCTATACAGAAAATGTTCTTAAAATTACCTCTTTGATACAGCGTCAAGGTCTTGGCTCCATTAGGAAGTTTCGTCGGGGTAGGTTCCTCTGGAATAATCTAGGGTTTCTTCAACAAAATCAAATGGCGAAACTTTGCGATTGATAGCTGCATACCTATAATTGCCATGGTAACGCGCTCAAAAAATGCCTATTAGCTTCCCAGGTCACGCTACCTCCGTTCAGTAAAACAAGAATCGAAGTTCCTATGTGACGAAAAGATTATTGGAAGATAAGTGTATTTCGAAATTTTACTTTCAGGAAATCGGTTTGCAGTCAGACCTTAAACTCGTTTAGAAGAGTGGTCAGTCAATCAAACTCCACTATTTCAAAATTCGACCATTTCACCAGCCTTTGGTATTTCCACTGAAGCAATTGCCTATATTTAATGATCACGAGCTAGCCAACCTTTACGTACTCAGGTTCCCACAGTCAGCACAACTGTTATGTCATAAGCACCGTTCGAAATAAACAGAGCCCATTTAGAATCAATATACAGCACTAAGTACTTACAATACCTTATATCATGAAAAATTCAGTTGGTTAAATTGAATCGAAATTTAAAACGTGACAAGCGTTTATACAAAGCTTTTACGCTAGAAACTTAGTTTACTAAATAAGCCACCAGATATATCATGTCTCTAGCACGAAATCGAGCATTATGTTTATACAGGCGTTACAAGATCCCTGATTAGACAATGACAGGGCAGAGCAGCAATCGTCCGCTCATTCAAACCAGCAAACACACACGAATAAAGAAATCATTTGATACACATTTGATGACTATGGAATGACTATGAGCAGATAAAATGTTCGGACGAATCTGTTGGACTTGATGAACGGTTGGCGAGCAACTATTCGTCGGATCTAGTTCACTAATGGCTCAAATTAGACCAATTCTTCAACTATAGTGAAATCCTGTGCGAAGCCGTTTTACTCATCCATTATAACACTGAAGTCACCTAAAGTTATTGCACATCAATACGACAAAAATTATTGAAATGAGAAATTCACGTTTTGTATATTCAGCAACGCTACCGCCACAGGAAGGGCGATTATACATGCCACAAGCGTCCATTACTATTACATAAACTCTGTCTTCTTGTCGCAAGTACCTTTCAAAAATCGTCGTAATCGAAGACGTCCCCAATGCGACTTCTACACAGCGTAGCCACAGAAGCAAAACTACATTATAATAAGAAACACACGGTGGCTTTATAGCACAGGACGTGAAATAGGCGCCTGAGAAGCAGGCATAATTGGAAGAAAGTAGAGTTTTTAGTGTTCAATAGAGTATTGTATAAAAGGAATGGTTAATTCCGCAATTAATACCTTTTCAATTAATTTTTGTTTCGTATTTTTGCCGAGCGCATACAAAATTAGATATTACCACTTACATACATTCAGAGTTAAAACTATTGTATGAGTTTTAAAGTAAAAGAGTCAATGTATGTATAATTAAGTCAGCTTACGAAGACAAGACACAAATTACCGCGGTGCAAATGCACAAAAGATTCTCTTGAGAGCAGGCAGCAGCAGCAAACGTTCGGTCTGTTGGCCAGCCAGCTGATGAACAGCGCCGCTAAGTGATGCTGTGAATACGAGCACTGTTATGGTATTCAACACAATACAGCAATGCCGCTGGCTAAACCCTTACATATACGCACCCTTAAGTTAAAGTCAGTCTATACACGTTGATGTAGTGCTTTCTGGCGAGAATACGTAGGAAACTTAGGCATAATTTCGAAAGTTGTCTTAGCTTATCACTGGGTTCAGGAACATAAGGTTAGGTTAGGTTCTGATCATCAGACCTGAGGTCAGATCCAAATAGGGAAATCTTTTTCAGTTTGGTGTGCTGCAAAAACTAAAATTGAGAGACTGAACGAGTTCTGCTTCTGATTTTATTTTCGGACGAGCATAATGTGATATAGACAACTTTGATTTTTAACATCAGTATGATAGTAACTGTAACTGTATATTAAAACGTTAATGTTTGTATTTGTTTAATGTTTCTTCCCGTTACTTAATCACACTAGTCACATAGTATATGTCATTGGCGAAGCTTGAGCCAACGATTAATGCCTTCAGCGAGATGGCAATTTAATAAGCAAAAAGGTGTCTTGAAGTTCATTTTTGTTGAAAATTGGAGTTGTGAAGTTAATCTAAAGTAGAGAGTTAATAACCTTAAAATCAGTACTACTTACTATCACTAATACACAGAGCAGGAGACGAAAAAAATGTTATTCACCATAATCATTCATTGATTATAATTATCTTTTTTGGGTCAGCGTATTCTTCTCTACTGGGCTCGTCAACTTAAATTATCCCTTCATCTACTGTAAAGCTCAAAAAATATTTCCGGTGTTAGTAACAAGTATTAAAAATGCTACACTCCGAGTTATCTTAAAAACAAAGCTTTCTATTACATTTTATAACCTCTGCAATCTTTGTCGAACTAATGGAAAGTGGAAAACCTCTGAAAAACGGTCGGCCTCCATGTCAGCCATCAAGGTCAGTTTATGCTAAGACGTATGTGCATGTTTGGTTGCTTAGATGAGTGTTGTGATTTTGCGGTGAAATAGCGCGCATGCGGTACCGTTTGGTTGCTGCCACCTTCTACTAGCAGAAAGAGATTTTAACAAAAAAATAGATTTAGTTTGAAAAAGTATTAAAAAAAGTTCATCGCATTGCTTATTGACCAGCATTATACGAAATTGTTGCGTATACCTTGCAAGTGTCGGTTCCCGATACCAGGTTGGTCCAACGAATGAACGATGAAATTAAGTTTGTGTTCGATACCGGCTATATGTTTGTGCATCGGCTTTTGGTCCAACGAATTTGCGCTGATTGGCATTTTCCCATCGTATTTTTTTTTGCGGTTAAATTCTGTTTGACGTGTGCGGAGAAACACAACATCTGATGATGGCTCTATATCAATAGTGTGAAAAGAGACTACCATGTTGTCTTGTCATAGTTAATATGCCATAGGTGCATACGACACTTGTTAATGTAAGCTTACTCCAGAGCGGCTTGGATATGTGTTTTTGCAGAAATGTTTCCGAATGCTTTGCGTCGACTGTCGTCGCGTTTAGCAACGGCCAGTGTTAATGATCGAACTTTTAAAACACGGTTTTTGATGGCCGGGCATGCGAAACTTGTACCAAAGGAAAGCAAAGCTCTGCCGAAATCGCATGAACTCAAAAAAGAAAACATAGCCGCCAAAAAAAAAAACAGTGAACCTTCTTTGAAGGATCAACAAGACAAAAAGGTATGGAAGACGTGAAAGCAGTCAAGCAATTGGTATGCCTGAAAACCATCTCCAAGCAAGATTATAAATGACATACTGCAAATGATAAAGTTTTTCTAGCCCTAATTGTTCTGTCGGCTAATTCTATGCGAAAGTATTGCATTGGTCTTAAAATGTCCGGTCACGTATCGCATTCAACACATGGCACACTTTGTCAGCTTATAGACAAGTTGCGAGTTACTCTTTGCATACTCCTGCTGCGTTGTCCTGTTCTCCTCCTAAAGATATCAATAAGAGTTTTATCACATGTCTATAACATTGCAGGTGTGGTCAAAAAAAAAACGAGAAACATTGTTCGGAATACATCCGGTTGAAATATGTTTATCCGAACGCAAGCGGACTATTTACAAGGTATTACTGATGCCATCAAACTATAATACTTTCTTTAATTCTAACGAAATTTGTATGAGCATATATAGGATGTTCGATACAGGCTGGAGCAAAACTGATCTTGCTTATTTTTCACGGGCATCTGAATGAAGATAGACACTACGATGAGTCTTTCCCTTTAAATTTATGCATAACTTTAATATAGCGGCCATGAATAAATGATAACATATGATATATGAAGTGTTATCTTACTTTTTGGGCCAATAGCAAGCCAAATGTCCTAAAAACTAAGAATTCAAGGGAGCCAAAATGAACAAAAAGACAAAAGTGGCTAATTTGTGGGATTTATTAAAAAATTTGATTGTAAAGAGATACGCTTTTCTGGAATGCAACCGCCTATTTTGGCGCCAAATACTTGCGGATCATAAGAAAGGGCTTTTTGCACCATTTTTGATAAATTCATAAGCTCTTTTAATTTAATCCCAGTCGCGTCGGAGTGCATAAAGGCTAGCAACAACGTAAAGTTTTGAGTAACTAAAAAAATTGTCACTTCGGTGGGGGGTTTATCCCATGCGAAGATATTAAATGAAAGCAGATGTTCATTAACATTTGTGCGTAAATTTTCAGGTTCCGTCATGATAAACGTATGATTTCGTTTCTAATAGAAGACTAGCTCTCCTCTATCATAAAATATATCTGATAAACTCATACCCGCTGGGGTAAACACCCCGCCAAATGTTGTCTCAATCTAATCTGCATGGGTAAATGGTGATTTCATAGTTTTCTCTGCCAGTGGCATAGCGTCTAGTTTACCTCGCGGATGTAAAACATTGAAAGGTGTGTTCTTAATTATTATTTGTTGAAAAATAAGCAATATTCGCGTGCTTAGTTACGAGGTAGTGGGTAGTAATTTCCATCTTTCTACCTGCAGGTATTCTGCTCAAAAATAAGAGAAGATACTGTGTCCAACGAGAGCTTACAACGCATTTTAAATATCGCAAGTGCGCGTAAAATACCTATTAAATCAGTGGAGACTCGTCAACTGAATTTAATGACGAATAAAGCTACTCATCAAGGCATCGGTATGCAGGTAAGATACAGTTTTGCGATAAACCATCAATTCGTTGCTTATGTTAGTGTTGAAGTTTTGTTACTGTATCATTTCAATATATGCAGGTGTCTCCGCTTATACTAAGGCCGTGGAACGACGCCATGGAGTGTTTCGGCCAAAGCGACGACAATGGCCAACTGTGTATCTACGTGGATCGCGTTCAGGACCCGATGAATATGGGCGCTATCTTACGGACTGCTGTCTTTCTTGGCATTGATGGCATTTTCGTTCCTACAGAGAATTCATGCAGATTAAGCCCTGTTGTTGCCAAGGTAACGCAATTTTGCGATCAACTGCAAATGGTGTATTATGTGACTTTGATCTAACAAACCCCATAGCCTACATGACTAGTACTTTACTAAATAATCCGCCATTCAGGAAAACTTATAGCACTGTTGGATGGAATTAAATTTCGGCTACGCACCAGGTTAAAAAGTCGATAGTTACATTTTGTCATATTTGTAGAACTATGCCTTTGTAAAACTGTACATGGTTTGTTGTATGTGTATCATTTCACTTGTCATTTGGTGTCCTCAGTGGTGGTAGATTAATTGAAGAGTCAATTAATGGCAGCTTAGAAGTGCTTATTGGACGGTCGATTGTGATATAATTCGAGCTGTGCTAAACTTTTTCGAGCTGATTTTCGCGTACCAAGTGATCTATGCTTCTAAAAAATAAGCGTGTTATTTTTGATGAAAGGCTTTTTCTAAATTAAGTTCAATTCAGTTTGTTGCTGATATGTTGTTATTGATGTAATCTGTCTACGGCCGTAGGCGTCTGCGGGAGCTTTGGAGTGCGCTCCGCTATATTCGGTAGAAAACCCAGCATCATTGTTTACGTTTCTTCAGCGATTGGGCTGGGACATCGTTGGATCTGATCAGGACTGTGAGCCTTATACCGCGCACAAAGTGCGTAATTGTCTCTTTTTATTATGAATATGACTATGCACATAAGATAGCTAGATGTTTTCATTAATTAGAAGGCCCATTATTCAGAGGATTCGCTGAGTCTAAATTAGTCGATATAACCGAAACAATCATAGCTGTTAATTGGCAGTTAGAAACACAAAAGATTACTCGATAGATAAACTAGATATGCTTTTAAGCAAAAGCCGAGGAAAAATAGAACCCAAATCGGATTGTTTTTAAATACATTCATCAAAAATATGACCATTTCACCTGTATATCTGCTCAAAATGCAGCTAACCCAATACCAACCATTCAAATTTTGGCTTCAAATTTTATTATTCTCCCCGTTTCTGATGAAATCACTGATGTGAAGCATCCAAAGTTTTCGATTTGGCGTTTAGGTAACTCAACGAAATCGACTCCTTGTTCTGGGTAACGAGAGCCATGGTGTACACGAGGACCTGGTCTCCTTCTTTACCACCACCGTATCCATACCAAGTATCAACAAGAGAATCAGCTCATTAAACGTGTCTGTTACGAGCGGCGTGTTGCTGACGCACTTTGCCAAGAGCAAGCTGTTCGCTCAAGAGGATAAGTAGTCTAGTAGTCTTAGAGAGAAGTCAATTTAGAATAGTATAGCGGAATCAAAATCAAATTGTCTTTCGGACAATGTTTTGTTGTTGCTATTTCATTCTAATGTATATAGAAGTAGATGTTCAGAGTAAGAAAGCTTTTAAGAAAGAAATAAATAACAAAATAGAAAACACACTGTGGTTTTCACGTATACAGTTTACTTGTCTATTTATGGTACATATATATATATATATATATATATATATATATATAGAGCTTCTATAAATTGTACGTATGACCATCAAACCAGATTAATGTGAAACTAGTTAGCCCTTAGACACTCTACGAATCAACTTATTTAAAGAAACTGTACGCAACGAAGCAAAGTTGATATGTGCTGAAGCAGCACAACTCATCTACGCTAGGGAAGTCCTTCACTGAAATCGCTTAAAATGAACGTCTCAGTAGCAGTTATTGCATGCCATAATCTACGTGTTTTTTCTCGCTGCCTTCGGCACACTATACTCCGAACAGTATGGAAAATGGTCTACCTCAAGGGTCAAGCTGTCCTCTTTATTGGACCTCCAGAGTTACTCCGCATGTCTGGGTAAATAGGTCTCTAAATAATGATTCCAGGCCCGTTCACCCAAATGCTATAGATGCAGTCTTTGTCTGCTAATTCCGTTAAACCAATGATAGGTTTCGTACTAAGATTTCTGCATACAATCCTGTCTAGAAATCTGCGATTGTTTGTTTGAATTGAATAACATTTGAAAAAGTTGGCAGCCATGAAAACCTCCCAAAACAACTTGCAATGGGAAATGCAGGGATTTTATTCGAGACATACGCGTATTTGTTGTGCAATTAGAGCAAAAGGGTTAGTCATTTAAAATTACCACTACTAAATGTAGTGACAATACTAACTGTTGCTGCGAAGACTTTAACATTTTTACAAAAATCTAAACAAACACTTTTGGTAGATCAGTCAGTTTGAATTTGTAACTTTATCCTTAAAAAATGATCAGATTTATGTTTTTTTTTGCAGGTATTCTTAACTTTACACTAGCTGCGTGCATGAGCGGCACGGCGGGGCCAAAATCTGGTGAAAAGTTCGGACAAAATACTTTCAGATTTGGTACGATAGAAGAGAATTTCTCGTCGTACTAAAACGACAAAATCTGTTTCGATACATTACTTTGCAAACGAAGTATGGACAGAGTTTGTTAAGTACATAAGGAAAGATTAGACTTATGAAGTCAACTTTTTTGAGAATTATCTGGATCTAATCAACCATCCTTCCATTCATCCTTCATCCTGGCATTCTTACCAGCGTTAACAGATATCATTGAGTACTACGCAAGCTTATTAAACTCAGCAAATGATGGAAATTTGTGCCCGACGAAACTAGTGCACAGCTACAGCCAACAGAGAGGGCGACAATACCGAGCGATTTATCGCATTTATCTCAATTTGATAACCATGTAACCGTGGTGACGACCTTATCAAAATGTTCTCTACTTACATTGCATGCTTTGCTTATAGGCGATGTGTATAATAATAATGAAAGCAATAAGAGACCACTACATCCTATTCCATAATAAAGAAAAACAGCATATATTTATGATGGTTTAGGTTGTTCGCCTCACTTTGACAAAAAAGCGCTATCCAAAAAAAATTGGCGACATCGATACAAATAGCAAGAGAACACAGTTACAGCATCAGGTAAAGGCCACCGGTGTATCCCAGCGCTGTTCCAAATAGTTACAACCTTGGTTGAAAGAAACCAGAGGTCGCTGCTTCAAGTCCCGCCAACGACAGATCCTTCACAACGTGTGTGAATAAATAAAGCTATCATTAATCTGAGATTATTGTCTTGTATATAGTCGTATTAGATCATCACGGTTAATGAACTGGAAACAAACTTTAAATACTTATTGTAAACAAGTAAAAGTAACGACCCTTCTAAAAACAGTTCGGTGGAAGCTATTATCACTCCTTTTCTGTGCTTTTCTGTATTCCTGCCCAACTAATTAAAAAAAAAGTTATAAACGCGTATGTTGAAAAGGCAGAAGCGTACGTAATAGTTTACAATGAAATCTCGGTAGTCAATAAATTCTGTTAAAGACAACCGTTATTAATCAAAGAGTAATGCACCAACATTGAATGTTTACAACAAGATACTGAGCAGACGGTCCATCGAAATTACTCAAGAAAAACACGCAGGTTTATCGAAGGCGTGTCCGCGGTTGCCTAATTAATCCTGAAGATACCCTGAATCAAATTGTCAATCAATAATCCTACGCGCATACATCGTTTCCCAATGCTTGCCATCTTAATTAAGATTGAATTTTTGTTTTTCACTTATCGGTTCTCTCAACGATACAATTTGTTTTTAACGATGGCATCAAGTATTAACAACAAATATTAAGTACGGCTGATTTCCAAACGTCGATTTTTATCGTTATAATTTACTCGGTATTTTCGTAAAACCTTAGCAGAAATCCGGTAAAGTCAACTCGAGGTAACAGAATAGATTTCCAACACGAGTAACAAGGATGTCTTATTTTGATTTGGTCATACATAAGGTAAACAGGATTCAACGCTGCTTTATTTTGTTGAACCTAATGGGTACAACGTAACACATATAATTCGATGTGCTGCTAAAAACTAGGATCCTTGGCTTAACATAAGTATTCATATGTAATGAAGGCTAACTTTTAGTTTTCATAAACTAAAAAAAAAAACTGTACCAGACCAAATTATGAAAGGTTTAATAGGAATACGTATTATACATCTGAGTTATATGACTGAAAAAGCATAGACACAAAGACACAGTTAGCAATTTATTGCGCCAAAGAGAAGCCGTTGTTGGTTAAATGGTTAAATCCAGTAGCTTTATTAACCGAGGCTTAAAAGGGCTTCCTGGAATTATATGAATAACTAACAAGTGTTGTGAAGGTTGCTGGCGTAATTGACATGCACGCACCGGACGTAACGAGCGAATATCGTATAATGAATCAATCATCATGATCATTAACTAATATTTTAAAAAACACAAAGTATGTACCACAGAAGAATATTTTTGGCTTTATTTCATGCGTATTATTTTTACTCCAAGAGACCAATCTCACACATATTTGTCCCTTATTAGAGTTTTTTTTTCGTACGCTTGTGATATATAGCTTGAGTTGGCGAAGCCCAAAGGAGCTCGACAACGATATAAACATATCAACATCTTGCACACTCGAGATATCTCTGATGTCTAATCGACGAGATTCAACGGGTGTGTTTTGCCCACAACCATCGGTGGTGGGCAGTGACTTGCAAAGTTTGTTTCAAAATTTTTTAAGGGAAAGTTCCAGGATGCAAATTTCCTCTTAAGTCGCTTTTTAATCGGTGTACATTAAGACACATATTAACTGACTTGGAAACGCGAGAAAACATTATAAATTTTTCATGAAGAAACAAAATAAACAACTATATCGTACCTCACTATTTGCCGTTTCATTCTATGACAAAACAGTGCGTCGCTCTAATTCTAAAAGCTTGAAAAAAATGATTGTGGTTTGTTTGCCATATAATGGAAATATTAACAACAATAATATTATACGGATGACGATCTATTCAACAATCAAGGAAGTTTGCCGCCATAAGAAGTTCCAAGGCGATTTCGGGTGCGATGGGGAATTCGGGAATTTCTGTTGACGAATTTGTATAGCGCACCTGAAAATATAACAAGATCGACATGATGTGACCAAGCGAGCGAATGAACGCATGAATGTGGCTAAACGATCGAAATAACCAAAACTGCATACGAAAGGGTCTAAGCATCCGAGTACGCTGTGTCAGCCCGAAGCCCGACTGGACAGTAATCGAACCTACATTCCTACGCATTACACTTGTACCACTCACTTAATATACACAACAACGCAACGCTAACGTCAAGGACCACCTGATGCTTAAGTGGATGAATAGTTACCACTAATTCATACATGTTTAAGCGTTTCTCATCTGTTTGTAACTTCCACAAATCACCCCCTTAGAAAAGCTATTTTCACAGCTGTCATTACAACTTTAACATCGATAACCGGTACAGCAACGATGATGTCTGAAATTACGTTTTGCGTCCCTTAGACGGATATGGTTTAAAGCATTGTTTGTATTAAAGCAAAAACGACGATTTACGCCTGATCACACCCACCCATGTGAAAAGCATGTCTATCCCAGCAATATATCGTATACATGCACATCGCTGTTACCTTATAAGTAAAGTACTGGCAGACTTTTTGTAGGACGTGAGAAGGAATCTCACGAAAGTTAACTTCATTAGTTTCGTTCTCGGAGAACTGACCGGGTCCGGACAGCATCGCCTTGATTGTTCCCGACGTCAACGCGTGACATCGTTTAATGAAAAACTCGTGTCCGTCAGATGAGATGAGTTTCACGTACATAGCGTCGGGGCCCTCACATCCGCCGAACGTCGTACACATTTCGACGTTATCGCCAGACATTGTGAATGACAAAGTTGTTACTGCGTTTCTATATTCAAATGATGCCTAACGACGGCAAGTGCTGAATCAATACAGGAAAGCACAAACAGTCGAGAACTGTACCTATGACCAAGGAAAATACAATCATAAACGCAACAAATAACCACAAAGAAACGTTTATTTTTCGTTATTTTCACTACATTAAATAAATACCTACCATAATAACTTACCTATTAATTTTTATCTAAATGTAGCATAGAATTTCTCCTTATTATTGTAGCTACCTTCGCGTTTACACCTGAGTTATGAAATAGCATTCGAGGCTTTGGTAGGGGAACGACGATGAAATAATAAACGTATAAGATACTAACGCGTCTATTCAGATGGACAGTGAGAGGCGTTTAATGCCATTCGGGAAGAACCAGCACAGTTAGCCCAGGTTGTTTAACAAGCGTTCAGCGTATGAAATAATTTCGATCGATGGGTTGGTTACACTTCCCGGATAGTCTGTGCTATGAGCTTCTAACAATACACAATCAACAAGAATGACTGGCACAACGTTGGCTAAATTTAGCTCGATTATACGACTCTCTGTATACAGTAAATCACGACGAAGATGTAATGCCAAGGTTAGAACGCAACGTTTGCAACGGTCTCGCTCTGCTATTTGTAATCCTTTTTTTGCTTTATGTTTACACCAGTAACACACCCTAAACCAATAACATAATATCTGGTTTTTTTTCAGAAAAAACGTCACGTGACCGAAGCAGATCCCAATAGGTCTGCCAGCACTTGAATGCGATCCTAGTTGTTGGCTGCTGTCATCTCTGAGAACAGCTATTAATATGCATCTGAACAAATACACGAAACTGAGTGTATTCTGACCGCGTTCTAGAACTGATAACAGTAATTACACCTAACTACATTTTAAACAAGCGTTGTCACTAGGTAATTAAAATTAATCGTCAGCAATAAAGACGATCGGTGAAGACTCATGTTATGTAGAACAACACTCGGTAGCCAAGCAATTAAATTATGGTATAAGATGAAGCATTACTGTTTGGTTAGGTAAAGACGGTATCACACGTAAGCCGCTGACGTCTTACTCTGAGATGTGCAATTCAAAGATTGACGATGCTTATACAGAAGCACCTGGTTCTAGCCGAACCGTCCGTGAGTTTGGAAGGTACGGAAACTTGTCGGCTGTCAAAAATAGCCTTGCGCTGGATTTTATTCTGAGCTAAATGTTATAATTTCTATTATCTTTATGGATAATCTAAGAAGTACTAGCTTTCGTTGCCGATACCAGATTGTATTCAACTATGGAGCAACGCTTATGTATATTGACATCACATTGATCCTTTTATTGGTCGGATAAGGTTATCCGGCTCTGCACTCTAACAAGGGTGGTCAACACAGTTGGGAAATTTATATTCATTGCGGTGCTTTGTTGCGCAATATATATTTCGCAATATAAAGGTTTTTTTTCACTAAAAATTCGTATACAAGGCGGAACTATTAATTAAAAAAATGCTATTTTAATCATGCTCATCGAACTGTGACTTACCTTAAGTCAGTACAAACCTGTAACGTTGTAAAGGTGCGTAGTTTGAGCACGTCCATTTGAACCGGCTCTTTCAACAATCACTTTTTTTCTGGAACCTGTTATACCCGTTATTAATTAAGAGCACCTAACTGTTTGCTATTGACACCAATTACGGCACACTTACAAATCTAATCCAAAATCTTACGATCTATAGGGTGCAGACTCACTTCTGTGAGCTTCTACATGTTTCGATGCAATACTTTGAGATTGATGTTATATTTTTGCCTGATCGAGATGTAATCATTTATCATATAATGACTTACGTGACTTTAATACGTTATGTGAAACAAATTTACCTCAAGTGAAAAAGTTTTGCTATATATACTTTGCATTTGGTTTGATCGAGTTTATCATTCTGATGAGTCTGTATTTGTGATGTAATCGCGTAATGCATTGCACTCAGCTAGACGGTACGTCGTTTTAACTACACCATAATGACGAAAAGTAATGGATAAAATAATCAAGTAATCCATACGGTTTTCTTTTCCCTTGGCCTATTTTTCCATCAAATTATATTGTACAGATGCTTCGTTCAGTGGTGACACCTGCCATCGAGGGGCTTTCGTTAAAGGCTGGACTTCTTTCTTCGGTGACACAGGTTCGGTATAAAAGGATTAAACTCCGTAAGCCAGCTTGGATGCCCCGTGCACCTTCCAAGCTCTATACGATCTTCAAGCATCCAAAAGTTAGCGAGGAAGAAAAAGCCCAGTATTGGGCTTTGTACGTGCGGTACGAGACCGAAATTCGATCAATCCAGTAAGTAACAAGCTTGTCACTATTACAGCTACTACTGCTATTTCAACCTTGTTACTTGATTTTAGGAGGTCCGGTTTTTACGTGACTTATTCACATGACCTTGTAGGTATGACCAAACTCTTATATGACTCTTTCACGTGTTTTTGTATTTGTGCCTAGCTCTACGCTAGCCTACGTTGGTTGGCCGTAATAGCACATAATTGGAAGCCAACACAAAAAGTATTCAATTAAACGTTAATTCACTTCTAGTAGCAATGCAGCATTCGAACGAAGCCTCATCTTTTGCCACTTCAGATTAGTGTTCGACTGTTGGGCCAAACCTTGTTGACAATCGAATCTTTGATTTCAGAGCGTTTTTTGCGACCGAGCAAGCACGGCTCGAGCACGAAAAGAGTAAGTTTTCTCAGCTCTCAATACAGGACGAAGAGGACTTTCAAGCACGACTTAAGGCGAACGAAGAAGAAAACAAACGGGTTGCCACTGAGCGCGAACGGCGGCATAGAGAAGATTTCCTTCAGCGAATGGCCGTCAAGATGAAACGTATCGAACAGATCAAAGAGCAGGAAAAGCTGGAGGAAGGGATTGCCAGGCAACAACTCAAAGAAGAAATGGTTAGCTATCCGCCCACTCTGACATCAACTGTGAAAATTAATGGCGCATATATAGATACCGTTCCCTAAGTTCGTCTTTCAGGTTATGCGTGACATAATTAGACTACCCAGTTTAAGCGAAACGATATTAAAATTAGATCCGGACGGCTTTTTGTATAAATTGTTATAATGCCTATAACATAGCTCAATCGTGACTTTGATAATTCCTTTGTCTTTTGAAAGCTTATTCTACGGGTGTTCCTCGGTGCTTACAAGCCAATTTAGTAAACCAGCCATTTTACAATCAGATAAATACCTTTTACCTGCTATTTTTCTACTTTACATGTTACGAAATCCTTAATACGCGTCACGTCGTCCCTATTTATGATGGATTAATATGTTGGTCGATTATTAAGTTTGATAAATGTCCTGCAGTGAACAGCTATTTCACCCTAACCATAAGAAAGCAACTAATCAAACCTAGAGTTATCAATAACGTACAGTTAGATGTTATATATAATAACAGTGTGCGATCATTTATTCTCTTGGTAGTGAAAATATCTTTACATTGTTTAATTTTGTTTTCAGGAAAATATGAACTATATTACTTATGGAACGTTAGACGAAGCGATTAAGAAGGCATACTACGAACCTGTTTCATACAATTTTGCCGTTACTTTGTCCGGGAAAAAAATTCCCGAGAAGGCAAGACAACAACCCCATAGTGAAGGGCACTGAAAAACGCCTGAGATTACCTAATCTGTTATCTCAATCGCCGACATCGTCTCAGATTCAAGATGAAGTGGTACAAGGAATTCAGAAAAGACAAGGACCCGTGGTCTTGTCGTCTCGTGACAGCGTCTGATATCAAGCGATGTTGCTAAGTGTTCGCACCAAACGCATGTTTTACACTATCTAGCGTAAATAAATGAGAATGTAATGCGAGTTTTAGACGAAAATAGCATGTGTTTTCTTTTCTAATTTGTATAGGAAAATAAATGTGCACATTGAACGTGTAAAAGCTATGTCTTTTTCTCTGTAAAATCTATCTGCAACAACGCCCAGCGCTGACTTGGATCCTTAAAGGCCGTTAATGAGATCAGCAAGTATATTTCTAAACGGGTCAGGTTTACGTTAAAATGTTTCGCTGAATCTTGATTGGATCGAAAGACCGCTTCCATCGTGTAAGTGTGAGGAAATAGTTATATGATTAGTCTCAATGCCTTGGCATGGTTTTACTTGTTTGTTGATACATATTAAAACAATCTTTTAAATCATCCAGAGACGCCGTTTTGAAATTATTCATCATGGAGTTTCTGTGAAGTAAATATAACTTGAATATGATAGTATGTGTAACGAAATTGCTTATAAAGCTTTGGTGGTCACGAATAACTGAAGTCAGAGTACAAATTAGTCAATGTAATAAGACACACAGGTATAAACATTCCTACAAGTTAAATAAGTGAAAACTCATGAGATCTTATGGTTTTCTGAACCTCAGCTGTGCCATCGTGCAAACTGTGACCTTCCTAAACACTACGCACAATTGTAGCTGTCATCCTAGTTGCTGTTCACTGGTGAAATTCATGGATTACACGCTGGAAACTATCATGTATCGGATAACAAACTCAACTCCTTCACAGGTTGCGTTGGGCATTATCTCATTATTATCTCTTATTATTATGGGAAAAAGCAAGTTCCTGATTGACTACTGCATGGTCGTATTTAGTAACTGAGTAGTCAAAAGCCGATCTAACAATTGTCAGTAATAATTGACCTATTTGGCATATTCGTGTATTTTCCGTACTATTGAAACAATGTACTTGGAAATCAAAAAAAAAAAAACAAAATAGACAACCAGCACGAATTGTTCTAATCAAATTTTTCGATGTATTATCAGACTGAATACTTTATAAGTGGAGCTGTAATTTGACTGGCCTAAACCTTGGATGCTACACAATACTCCTATCGGCCACTGATTTATCCAGTAGTTAAGATAGTCCTATTGAATAATTGTTGTATTCCAAGTAAGGTCTTTATTGCAAAAACAGAGTCGCAGCAATAGTACCGTGTACTATTGCAATACTACAGCAATAGTACTACCACCATGATCATGTTTCTTCATGTCTTTCGATACATAGATAAATAATAATAATGATTCAATTATTTGCTGTTGTTGTTTCATTTGCCTGCCGCCAGTTCAAACGCCCATGACTACCTATACTTTTCAAGTTTCTATGTTATCGGTCCTCCGTACAACCTTTTCTTCGTATCAGGGGTGGCGCCATCTAGCGACAATCGCACGAAGGATTTGCGTTGTGGATACGCCGCCTCGCCGCTACTGCCATCGTTGTCAAAAAGGGTAAGAGACTATCTTGCGGTTCTTTCAGGAGATATAGCGACAGTGTATGGCGCTTCGTTGAGCAGCAGTAGCTTCGTAGTTGGTGCTTCGTAGGCTAATGCTAGCGGCGGCGCTAAGTTCTGGATTGCCTTGTAGCTTGTTGCTGTTATTGCCACAGTGCGAGCAAACGTAGCCTATTGTCCTGCGCCTTATTTCCCTGAATCACCTCTTCCAAAAGAGTAACGTGCTCACGACGGCGGCCTGCGAATATTACCACCGCCACTATTGCTGCTGGCACTGCTGTCTAGTAAAGTTGCGTTGTTACTGTGTTCAAGGCACATGGGTGAGAGTAGTCTCTCTCCAATATCCTTTCTATAGGAGGGTTCGAGTGGGGAGACCCACCGCTAGAGAGCGAGTGGCCGTCCAAGCGGTCGCCAGCCAAAGTAAACAAGAAAGAAGTGAAGGCCAAGTGCGTGGTCCTTCCTGCAAGTTCCACCCATTCCTGATGAAACGAAGAGCATCACATGCAGAGGAATAACGAGAATACAGATTACTCATAGAATGAGAATTGTTTGTACGTTTGTTTTTTGCTCTCGAGCAATACAGCAACAACGATAGCGCCAAGCCAGATAGCTTGTTTATTGCAAGGGAAAAGCGAAGAAACGGTGGCAGTTTATCGTTGTGTGCTGTGCTATACGAGGCATCGCAGGGCTCAACCCCGCAGTAGCGTCAGTTGAAAACAGTGTTATCCTCATTTAATAGTTGTTTCGGTCGCCGAATAAGGCTGTGGCTGCTCCCGCTAACACTCGGCGTTCCTATCATCGTCGGCGGAGATTAGGACACTCAGCGTGAAATTAATCATGTTAAGAAGCGTTTATTATCGCGTGATGATGCTTCGTTGTACGTGTGGCCAGCTGGCATAGGAGCTTGTTGTTAGCGTTGGTTATATTGAATGCTTGTTCCCAGTGAGGTGTCACACTTGTGGAGGCACTGCGTGTGGAGCAGCGGATAAAGTTTCTTTGTGCCGTGATGTGCCATGACAACCTAATGGATACAACGAACTTCAGCCTCACGCATGTATAAAAGTAATAGCGACCAAAAGAAAGTCCGAGTCGAATGTGGCTAATGACGACTACGTGACAGGACAAGACTGATCTCAGGAGAAGAAGTAGCTGACTATGGGGTTTCTACGAAGGATAACACTCCTTCGAAAAAGGAAACTTCTGCTGGCAGTCCTCTCATGTATGACCGTTGCGCTAGCAGGTTAGTTATTCGTTTCTAACTCGAAAAGCTAGAGTTCCCTTGTGATGAAGGAATAGTAGACATGCCAAATAACTTTACTAATGATATATCATTATACTTACATCATCTATGCTGTCCTTATTACTTTTAACGAAGAAACAATTTATATGAATAGTGGATGCACGTTCATAGTGGCAAGTGTACACAAAAATATCCTTCATGAACAATATATGTATGGTCTAGAAAGGATATCTAATGCAAGAGCACGGCGAGCTTGGTTCAGATATTTTTAGAACCCTACATGATTGCATCGTTATTAAGTATCAGTGCTACTGAAACTGAAAGGACCGCCTGTCTGTGGCCTTAAAATGGCTTGTGGGTCACTAGAATTTGTAGATATAAATCGATAATATAGAGCAGATACTTTTACCCTCAGAGGGCTCCATTGTGTTAATTTAGTTTGTCCTTAAGTAAGACCATGAATTTACTTTCATTCTTCATGTTTGAAAACGACGCTACACCACCGTTTATAAATAACAGAGAGGCCGTAACAAAGCATCGTCCACGTTGATATACATTATATATACAAATATATAGTTCTGTGAAATTATTTTGCTTAAATTCACATGTTGCTTTTAAAACTGCGATTAACCTATACTATAGGCAAAAGCTATTGGATTATGGTTAATACTTCTAAGAAGTATATGTAGGCTTTAACTATACGAGTAAAAAAATGTATTTAATAGCAAAACAGACGCGGGGTGAAGTTCCGGAGAGCGCCACTTTACAATGCATATACGTAACCCTGCTGTACGGAGTCTATTTTTTATCGATTATCCCGCCGAACATTTGTTAAAAACTAGTTTTACCTTAACTCAGACTTTATCTGCTCCGAAAAAAAGGTACACCCGGATACACATCTATTTCCTCTGCATGTTTTATCATACACTATGCATTCGTATTTAATAATTGAGTAAAGCGGCTGGGTGCGATTGATGCATAAGTGAGTCGTCGATGCGTCGCGCCACTTGAGGTTGCAGGTGTTACCAGTAAGTTGATGTGATGCATAGACCTGTCTTTGGATCGCAAGGCTTCTAGTCACTATCTCCATATGAATACTGTACTAATAGTTCCTCTGTGTCTTTGAATGTGTATTTGTGTGTGTGTGTGTCTAGGTAGTTATAAAGGCGAGTTTCACTCAGTCAAACAAACCTGCCCGTACTATACGAAAATTCACGTTAACAAACTCAATAGCTTTCTGTTGCTTGATTCTGCTGTTACTGCAAGCTTGCTGCTTCGGTCTTACCTGTTCGCTCGCTTGCTTACTCACGGCCCGTTCTAGTAGACCAAATGTTCAAAAGCAAGAGCCAAAGCTACAGAGTTTCGGCTGTCTGCCTACCAATCATTCGGTCATGCAGCCACCCAACCGCTGCTTGCTTTGTTCATCTGGCTGAAACTACGGACTGAACGAAGGCTTGCTCTTCGAACGAACTGGGTGTAGTAGCAGCAGCTTTGATAAATCTGTTCCTATAGTTGTTGGATCCACGATCTCCATAGCCTCGAATGGAGATTGTTTCATGGCCTTCAATGGGTTAAAATCACCCAGTCAAATCTCTCTCTCCCTCTGCCACTCCCGGTCCTGAACATGTCGTTGGAGGAGAGAGTTGACCGGACTCAGTTTTAGTGTAGATGATTTCGCTTCTTTTCCGTTTACTATAGTGTACTCACGAAACAGGCAACTGCCTAGGGTTTTACGAGACCAGGATAGATAGCGAATCGTGTCGCATTGCGTTTCTCTTCGACCTTAGTTAGGATCAGGCGACGATTGAAAGGCAAGCAGGTAATGTCCTTCAGCATAGCAGAGGAGCCTTATGGGTTAGTAGTGGGAAATTGTGCTTGCTTTCTGTTGACGACTGACTATTTGAGAACGAGATGAAAAACGAATGATTAAGAGCAGAAAAAAACCCTAAACAAGTTATTGAGGTGGTACAACAATGCATGATTAACACAGATTGACTACAAAATACAAAATCTTATTTTTATGCAAGATAAAATCGACGAATGAAAAATTTAACAAATATGTAGATCTGTTGTTCCACAAAAATGTCAGTCAATTGATTATTATAGTCATTGCTTGTAATACTGGAATAGTTGCTTAAGATTCAGGACTCTACTAATCAAATAGAACCATTATTGGAGTTCATTTCACAATTAATAGCCATACAAGAGTACGGCGGTGCACCCTTAAGTGAAGCTCTAGTAGAAAATTTATAACATATCTGAAAACTTACCTTTTTTGATACTGAATACGCACCGCTAACTGCACTATGAAAAACGAGTATTCACGTATTTATTTTCTGAACGAATCCCTCTGTCTTAAAGAGGCCAAATTCAAGAAAGCGGACTTCGGTGTGGTTTTCTGCCGACTAAGCCATATGCATATGTGATTCAGTTCACACGGCATCAGCACGCCACGACCGATTGACACCAAACGCCAATTGCAATACAGCCATGGGGTCTGCGTGCGTGCCTGCGTGCGTGTGTTTCAGGCTCGAGGTCTAAAGCTCCCGTATAGAAGCGGAAAATCAGTCGCGTTTGATGACGAAAGTCAACAACCATCGGGGTTATATTCGAAAATCACGGCTAAACTAGGTCCGAGCACTACGACAATATTAATCTGCGATCCAAGCCTGCGGATTGCGAGAACGAATTTACGGGCAACGAGGGGATCTCATAGCTTTGTTGCATTCAGTGGCTAAAGCTAAAGCCTAGGCGGGTGACGCATCAACATAGGCTCGGACATGGATTAAAGACGCAGCGCCAAATGAGGGCAAGAAACGATGTTAACCCACTTGACTAAATGCTTTGCGCTGAAGCACTTGAAGCGCAGATGACGGAAAAATGCGCAGCGGTACTCCTACTATTTCATAGGCTTCTTTCAAATAGACCAGGTAAACAATAGCATGGTAGACTAATGGCAGTAGTACGATATTGCACCTCATACGCCACGGATTGATATGTCTGTAAAGGGAAGGCTTACGTTGTATAACGCCTGCTTGCTTACCTATCGAAAATGAAATAACCCGGATCAGTTTGTAGTGGACATCCGTAATTGTGACATAAATATATAGCTCGAGGTTCCAATCATTTTCCTCCACGTTTTTATTCAACCGTTGGTTATTTAGTCCATATATATGATACATGTAACGTTAAATCGAGTAAAAAGATCACTTTCAACGGTGCGATAAATAGTAGAAGAGTGATAAACTATCCGCTTTTATTCCATGGTAATTCTGTGTACGAGTAGCTGAGTGGGTAGAAGAGTCAGGGCGTAATAATATCCGTCAGAGTCATCGCAGAAAAAAAAATTTGCACCAGCAGATTACGTCTCAGTGTTGGGGTTTATCTGACGAATGATTTTAATTCCGAGATGATCTTCAGTGGCCAGTGACCATCGAGATTTACTATGTTATACGTCAGAAAGTAATATTTTTTATAATAATTTATCGTTGCCCGTATCCGTTCTACCTAATCGATCTTATTTCAGCATCCACATTAAGTCAAACTTACTGTAGACGTTTATTACAGAGCGTCTAAACAGGCCATATCAGTTTCTCGAATTATTTTCTTCAGTACAGTAGTTTTTGCTTCGGAGCTCGAATCCCTTTCAACTTCGTGGATCCCTTCGTAGAGAAACGAAATATTAAAATAAGCGAAGCGAAAATATTTGTGTAAACAATTTACGTATGTATGAGGCTTTGAAAAGGGCTTTAAAATGTATGGCATATTTTATCAAGTTTGGCAAATCTCCTACCTAATTTATTGGGGTCGCAATTCTTCTGCTAAGAAAACTCGGATTTAATTCAATTCAGGTGATTATTCAATATCTGTTCCCGATAAGCTAACGGCTTTTACCCGGGCAATCTAGTTAGAGTTGCTGAAGATGACTTTTTTTTCTATCGGATGGTAAGATTTTGTGATGTTTAGTTTTCTATTTTATATACCGGCTTGAATAAATTGACTGATATTTGTGCGCTTTTGTCGTTTTTTTGTTTCTCCACAGTAGACAATAGGCTTTTATCATGCGTTTTTCGGAACATCAACAGTCAAGTGCTTTTACAATTAAATGGTCATAAACGAAGAAATCACTGTCAAGGAATTGTCCTCTCCGACAGTTTCTCTCAGTGCGCCGGGGCTTTCGGTGTAAATTTGAGCAGTCGCGCCTATCCATATTGTGCAAATGGTACCAGTGTTGCGATCGCTTTAAAAGAAACGGCAGATAGAAACATCTTTTCCCATACAGCCGCTATTAGCAGTCGAGCCTCTGCCTATTGTCCCTATGTCCTCTCCGCTGAATGTGGCAGTCGGTGCTGTAATGGAGCTATCATGCTTTTCCTCTGCCAGTTTTTACGTTTGCCCAAAGATACTCGTGCACCTGACATGAGCGCGAGCCAAACGACAAACTTTTTGTCTTCTCATAGGGACGCAGTACAGTGGAAAGCTTAGTCAGCCGCTGGAAAACATTCGTCTTCACCATCATTATTTGCCGTTAAGATAATACCTTATCGTTCAAATAACTTACTTGAAAGAACACAACAAAATTGTTCATAATATCGATGATTAACAAATCGCGGGCTACAGGTCTTATGGATGTGCTTGACATGACAGTGATGCGTGGTGGAACTTATGGGACTGGGACACTGGAGACACTTGATTTAGATTGTGTCCCTAGATTAAAAAAAAGAGCTGAATATCAAATGTGAATATTTGATTTTAAGCAGAAACGAATTTCAATTTTAAGCCGCTCTACGTTTGCTGTCGGGTTGTTGCAGGAAGCCAAAACTGTTTTAAATTTTTTTTTCCTTAGTAATAACTTCGTAGCTATAAGTAGCTTTTTACATGAAAAGTTTTCATGTGAACGCTTTGAGTGTTCTTGATGATATTCCGTGAAGTTTTTCCCAGATCCTGCGATGCCCGCGACTGTTCATCTACCAATTTAATGTCTGTCAAAAAAGGTCCTG